CTGGGTGTGGGAATGTTTATGAAAATAATTAATAGTCATCATAATTATTATTAGTCAGTGGTGGCCCAGTGGCTAAAGGTCCGCCTCTCATGCATGAGAAACCCGTTCGAATCCTGGCAAGTACCAATGTGATGTTCCCGAGTCATATGTACTTTATAAGAGTATTTAGACATCACTGACTGATGAAGGAAAACATCGTGAGGAAACATGGACTTAACAAATTATAAGTTTGAAATCACCAACCCGTCTTAAGCAAGCGTGGTAATGAATGTTCTAATCTTCTCCATGTGAGAAGAGGCTCAGCAGTGGACTCTGATAGGATGATGAATAAGAATAATCAATTAATTTGCAATAAATCCGTCAAACTTACTTCATTTCTTAACATATGTCTAGTTTCGTTCAAACAAAACCTCTTAATTAACTTATAAAAGAGACATATATATTATTTTTCATATATTACGTATATAATTAATTGAAAATACATAATAATCTGATAAAAACTATTTATCAATATAAATATAAACAAGTGTTGAACATTAAACATTCACAACAAGCTACGCGGCGTCGCACTGCGCATCTACGGAATTGGGTCAGGCTATGCGGACTGAGGGACCGACCCACATATATATATAACATATATATAAACAAATATATATATATTATTAATATTTCGTTTATATCCTTATATATATCTAGTTTATTTTTATTTTCTTATTGTACTTCGCCACACTTCATTTTCTAGTTACCTCAATCGAAATGGTTTCTGACAGAATCTTTCTCTCTATATATATATATGTATATATATTTGTTTATATGCTTATATATATCTATGTTTCGCTTTTTTCATTGTACCTGTACCAAATTTCTTTTCTAGTTTCCTATGTATATCAAAAGGGTTTCCTGTAGAGATCTCTCTTAAAACGTAAGTTAGGTATACTTTGTAAATTATATGTCTTTTATAATAATATAATTACTTTATATATATATATATATATATATATATATATATATATATATATATATATATATATATATATATTTGTTGATAATCTAATAACAAATCACTTCAGTAAGCTTAAAAGAAGAATAAAATGAAAATTACTTTTGTAAACTACTCAATTTGTTTAATTCTATATCTATATTAAAAATTATTGAAATATTTTAGTATCGGAAAAAATCATTTAAATAAATATAATGAAAATCATTTAAACACTAGGCCACCACTGACTACATTGATCTGGGACATTTTAATTTCGTATTTTTTATATAATACTTAGGCATATATTATCCACGTACATATGTATACTTTTCCCAACTTATGTAATTTAACCAACTATTTAAAATATTGTGTCCTTTTTAAAAAAAAGACAGTTAATTTTTTAATCCCTATATAATATTAAAAAAACTACCAAAAAATAAACTTGATAAATCTCGTCTTAATGATCACGGTTGCTGTAAAACGAAAAATTCGGGAATATTTAGTTTATTAAAAATAAATTTATAACACCAAATATTATTATAGTGTTACGAAAAAATTTTCGGAGACATCTCTTTAGATCAGGGTAAGTGGAGCAAGATAGTAGTGATAAGATAGATAAGCAGACGAACAGAATACTAGAGAAACATTTTAACTATAGATATAGATACTATAGATATAGATACTGTAGATATAAAGCAAGGAAAAGATAAAGATATATATGTACTAAATATTAAGAGTAAATTACAACGGGTCCTATGTCTTCTTCTACCTGGCAATTTTCCAGCTTTAGCCAGGGTCTGCCAAATACCTATGGGTCCTGTGTGAGGGCCAATGTAGCAATGAAGCCATTTTCATTTTTTTGCTTTAAAAACTTCGAAATACTGTATTCTACAATATACAATTAAAAATGTGAATTTGTTGGTGGAAAGACTTAGTTTTTATGCAGTAAAAAGCATAAGTAACAGACTTATTAACATATAAAGGCTTAAATACATTATTTAAGAAATTAGTAGGTTTACAAAAATATTTATCAATCTTAAATGTCGTACATGTATGTCATAGTTGCTATACAAAGTTTTAGTTGTATGTACAAGATACATTGAAATCAAACTTAAAATGCCTCTGAACAATTGTCATTTTGTACATTGGCCCTTACACTTCTTCTTCTACCTGGCAATTTCCCAGCTTTAGCCAGGGTCTGCCTAAAGAAACTGCTTACTATCAATTTGTTATCTATACAAATAAATAAAATTGAAGTGTCTGTTTGTAATATTGAAATAACCGTTTTTTACATGCATATACGGTACATACACCAAAATAACTTAATTTACAATTTTTGTCTGTCTGTCTGTTTGTTCCGTCTAGTCTCTGTAACGGCTGGACCGATTGTGACGGGACTTTTACTGGGAGGTAGCTGATATAATAAGGAGTAACTTTGGCTGCTTTTCATCCCGAGTTCGAAATTAAGTGTTATCATGCGCACGTGGCGCTTAAAATGTTTATTTTCTACTTTTTTAAGCAGACGTAGTCGCGGGTAACAGCTAGTGAATTTATAATCCTTGTATGTTTGTATTATAGAAATACTGAAAAATTAGTATTTTCGTAATTGTCTAAGCATATTGTGAATTTAATATATGGTGTCCTAGTGGTTAAAAGGTCCGCCTCTCATGCATGAAGGCACGGGTTCGATCCTGGCAAGTACCAATGTGATTTTTTCGAGTCATATGTACTTTATAAGAGTATTTAGACATCACTGATTAATGCATTCCCAAAGAAGGTTGATGTCAGACAGGCGGCCGGTCGTAAAAACAATTAGCCAAAACTATTCATAACATCTAAGGCAGACCCTGGCTGTAGCTGGGAAATTGCCAGGTAGAAGATTGTGAATATACTAGATGAGTATAAAAACGACGAAGTATTATATATATAGATTAATCAATAATTTATTATACCTTGTTAAATAATACGAAAGATATTTTCTTTTCCTCGTAACTATTTTCTCAATAACAATATAATTAAAAATATAATGGCTCGCATAATTTTATAGCTTTGAGAATAAAAACGAAATAATTTGATAAAATATCATTTTCTTTAATTGCTGCAAAGTAACTGAAACTTTGTACGTAGTTTAAAATAATAAAAAAAAACGCTTAGTATACGCGTTATTACATTTCTGCAACCTACTTAAAGACTTGGGCCTGTCCAGAACTATCAATAATTCATTCTTGGAACGTACTTCGAAGGCAGCCCTAGTAGGTAGCGTTTAACGTTAGATAGGGTCCCTTAAACCTACACCTGGGTCACAAGTCACAGTCACAGTTGAAGCTCCTCTCACTACAACGATGGACCCGACACACGCATGAATACATGGAATGATGAGAGGTTTCGTCTCATTACATTAAAAATATCCCAATTATAATGATTATTATTGTTTAATATTACATAATTTTATTGTTATCATCGATTATTTCGTAAAACAAAAGAATTTCTCAAATCCTCAACCATTTCCTTTAACAAAGGAATGTTTGTGTTTTTAACTCAGTTGTTTTGTAAAGAATCGTATGTGAAGTAAGAATGTTCACATAATGGAAATATGTATTAATATGTATATTCTACCTGGCAATTTCCCAGCTTTAGCCAGGGTCTGCCTTATATGTGAATAGTTTTGGCTAATTTATTTTACGGCTCCGCCTGCCTGACATCAACCCTCTTTGGAAATTAAATATTAATATTATTTGATAATTATTTATAAACTTAAAAAACGTGCAAAATGTAGGAGTTTGAGTAGGAAGGCAGGACAGAAGAACGATAATAAGCTATTATTTTGAATGTAATTACGACATTTTGAACGAATTTTTTCAATTAAAATCTAATGACATTTGACGTAAAAGTAATTTAATAGTACGAAATGTTTTAAAGTAATTTTACTTAAAATATATTTGTTAAGTATATGCTATATTATTTGTAAATTTTAAATCATATATGTATAAAAAGAGATTTTTTAAATCTTTCTTGTACGACGTAATCTCAAACTTTTATATTTATAGAAATAATAAAAGTTTATTTAATAATCTACAAAGTAAATATTATTACTAAAAAAACTACTAAATTCTCAGTGTTCATTGAAAGGTAGAGAAAAGAAAATTCAAAATATGTTTTTTGTAGAAAAATTTCCTGAATATTGTAAAATTACGTCAAAATCGCTTCAGATATTTCATTTTGCTTAGGAAAAAAAGAATTAAAGTAATTCTTTTCTTATAGTAATGATAAATAGATAGCATAATTAACGATTTTGAAATTCAATTGATATATATATTATAAAAAATCAATATATTTTAATTATTTTTAATTCATTTTTCATATTATAAATTAATTATTTATCTAGGAACAATTATATATAATGATACACAATTTTCTCCATCCTTGACCATCGCTAGCTTGCTATCGATCCAATTTATATTTCAATCGTTTAAACATTAAAAAAAATATCCACTAACTAACAAAATAACTATTATTTTTAACTATTTTTTAAAAATAATTGTTAATTTCGATTTTAATTTCATTTTACACCTAATTAAATATCAAAATTAAATGAAATTTTGCAATAAAATTTATAACAAAATGGTATTTTATTTATATTTAAAATTACGTCAGTTTAGTGATAAAATTACATGTTTTTTTACGTAGAAACACATTTTTACGGATCATTATGTTTCAGGTATGAATTTCATGGTAGTATAATTTTTCTCCGAGCCCGTAAATGTATGTAGGTCATAATTTCTTAAGTAGGTTGCATGAAAATATATCGATTTTCATTTCAAGTTATAGCCACATATGTTACACGTTTATAACTCGGTTAATATTTAACATTCATAATACATTTACATGTTAATATTAGCTACTTATTTTAACCATTGAGTAATATTACACAGATTTTTATCGTTTTTTATAATAGTTAATTTCACTTCACTATAGTTATATTTCGTTTTTAAATCGTTTGACGTGTTAGCACGTTACGTACCTGGTAAGGCTCATCGGGTTTGCCAGGGTACGAAGCACTGCGACGATAATCGGGAGGCCTTGGAGGGGCGGGGGCTCGCCTCCAGGGGGCGAAGGCCGAGGGCTGCGGCGGCTGCGGCGCTGGCCACCTATATTGCGGCGCCCTACGGAACGGGGCTCTATAATGACGCTCGTCGTCAACGCTGGGAGCGCCCGGGTACTGTAACTCCCCCATACCATACGACCGGCCGGCTCGACAGCCAGGCAGCGACTGAATGGTAGATAACAGATACGGTCGATGTAGCCTGCGCGCGCAGCCTTCACACAACGCGGAATGCGGCAAAATTATTATAAAGATTATTAGATAATACATTATTATGTTAAGCGGGAGTAGACGTGGATATAGTTGGGATGGGTGGGCATTATTGTTTGTTGGAATTTTACATCTCTACGTCGTAGCTTCGTAGATTGGTCGACAGCGCCATCTAGCGGTGAATATAGTTGTTAATTTAGAGAACAAATAACAAAAAAATTGTCTGTTTTTCATATATTATGTTAAACAAAAGAAAAATCATTTTGAATAATAAATTATCATAGTCAAAATTTTTGAAATTGGTCGACAGCTAAGAAAATAATTAAAATAATGAAATAAACTGTGTAAAAAGAATAATTTAAAAAATGGTGCACATATTAAATATTTTTTTATACTAACGTGTTTTATTCAATGCCATATCTATCAATTTATTTTACAAACTGAACAGTTTTTATACATATATGTATTTAAATTCACTTATTTGGTGCCAATTCATATTTAAATGAAAAAAAAGTTCTGAATTCTTGTACATTTAATCCAGAAATAAACGAATTAAAGATTATTTTTTTATTAAAATAGTATTCATAATAGTAACTTATGAAATTCCATTATATATGTATACTATCTTTCCGCCCACAGCTTCGCACACGTTGATTTCGGTTATATCGCGTTTCCAAGAGAACCTTTCAAAAGTCTGGGATAAAAACTATCCTATGTTCTTTCTCAAGGTCAACTCTATCTCTGTACCAAATTTCATTAAAATCAGTTCAGTGGTTTAGTCGTGAAAGCGTAACAGACAGACAGACAGAGTTACTTTCGCATTTATAATATTAGTAGGGATTCAATTTTGATAAAACTTCTGGATACTTCTGGCTCACCTGGGACGTGGATAATTTTCAGCTGCAAATTAGCTTTGAATTCCAAGCTATAATTCTCTGTTCGTTTCATTAAACACGCACTTACTACATGTTTCGTCACTACATACTCCACGTCAACAGTATTTCATTCGTAACTTCTCATAGTATTAACGTGGGTTAATGAGAAACGGGACACTATTAGTATGTAGTGTGAAATAAAATGTATATTCGAACTGATATTAAGAATTTAATTAAATAAAAAAATATATATTATAAAACTTATTAACAAAAACATTTAAAATGCATTCCAAAGAGGGTTGATGTCAGGCAGGCGGCCGGTCGTAAAAACAATTAGACAAAACTATTCACAACATGTAAGACAGACCCTGGCTAAAGCTGGGAAACTGGCAGGTAGAAGAAGATATAGAAAATACTAAAATTATATATTATGTGTTTCCAATTTACTTTATAATCTCACATAAATTTGACCAATGTATTGTAGAAAGTTGTATACATATATGAAGAAAATAACTTTATTTTAGGTAAAATAAAAATTATATACGAAAAAATATAATTCATTCAAATTTTGTAGTAATTTTTCGAAGTGAAACTACTAATGCGACTTTTAAGATGGTTGCGTTAAACGTTCAACGCTACTGGAGGGTTAGAAAGAGAGGGAGCGAGAGTGAATGAGTGGGACGATTATACTGTAAGCAATGTTTATAAAGTTTGTATTAAAACAATATGAATTCACTAAAATATATTTCTATATCTTCCTATTTTCATATCCACATTACTAAGTTTCACTTTTTCCTCGCGGAGAGACTCAACTAATTTTATTATTTAAGCTTAGATTATAATTATACTTTGTTTTATTGTTAAACTCAAGCCTTACAATCTTACCGTCACACAATAGAGACGAAACCTCTCATCATTCCATGTATTCACGGTGCGTGTGTCGGGTCCATCGTTGTAGTGAGAGGAGCTTCAACAGAGACTGTGACTTGTGACCCAGGTGTAGGTTTAAGGGACCCTATCTAACGTTAAACGATCACCTCCACCGTACAAGCTCCTCTCTCTACAATTTCGTTCATAACTAAAAAACTCCCAACTATCTGTTTTTAGTTTATCTATGAAACAAATGGTAAGGAAATATTAATTAATAAAAAAAGCAGTAGTTATATATACGTATATATTATTTTAATACAATTTCATTATTAAAACGATATTTTAATAAATAATTAATGATCATTATACCTGGATTGTGTTGTTTGGAAAGAAAAACTTTAGGTATAATATAATAAAAATAAGGTATATATACCTATATGTAATTCTGAATACTTTTTAGTTTTAGATTTTCTACGAAAAATGCAGTAAAATTTTCCGCAGAGCGGTAACTGCATGATTGTGTAATATCAATACTACTACAAGTTACAAATATACATATATATATATATATACAAGTAAATATTGTATATATTATATATTTGAGTTAATTTCTATAACTAGATTTTGGTACATTTCGTAATAGTTATTGTAAATTTCTCACTATAATATGTAATTTTGTGACATAATTTTGTTTTAACTAATCCGATTTCAGGTGATATATATAAATATTTGAAAATAAATGTCCTGTACTATATAAAAAATATTCTGTTTATTCAATAATGTTGATTTTACAAAATAATTGTAAGATTTTCTTTATATATGTATGAATACAGTATAGATTAATTATTTTAAAAAAACGATTTCTAGCCATTGTTTCGTTTTGTATAATCTTTTTCGAGGGATACATATATGTAAATATTCCTCTATAAGTTTTATTGAACTTGGAATGTTAAAAAATTCTTTATACTATGTATATGATTAACCATTTACTTAGAAGTCAAAAACATTAAATAATACAAAAAAAAGTATGTATATCTGGTCTGTTGAAAATGTGTTTGGAATTCAAAACAAGTTTTTCAACTCAGCTTAATAATGAAAGTCGAATAATCTATATATGTTTTATAAGTTACAAGAGAATTTGAAATTACTATAAATGTTAAAAAAAGCATAATAGGTATAACAATTTTATAAGTCTTGAAGTAGGAGTTGGAAATTGTAGGAGTATAAAAAAATTCGCACAGATGGTGCTGCAAACTGCCATCTAGCGGCGACTGAGACAACAAGATGACAAAATTATTTCATAGATGGCGCTAAACTAAAATAATTATATGTACAACAAAATTCCTTATATTACAGTCCAAATGACAAAAAACGCTTGACTAAAACTTTAAAATAATCTTATTTTTATTAATGTGATATATTTTTTTATTCGTTTTGATATAAAACTTATCATAGAGTAGCAATAAACAGAAGGAACATTACACTCGATAATTTATTATTTTCAGAGGCAAATTACTGTAGATAACTGAATTTTTAATACAAAATTACTTTTTAATTTCAAACTAATAAAATTTTTGATAAAAATAGATATATTTTAGTAGTTTTCTAACAAGTTACATAAATTAAGTGTCTATATTTGGTTACTCTGTGACACTATCGTAACGTCGCTTTATCTATTTGAACCCGTACAATAAACAGAGTAGTGATGTCCCACATTTTTATCGATAAATTTATTTAATTTATCACCAAATATAATTATTCATCAGAAATTCAAATTACAATATCATAATCATCATTAGCTACTTATTACATTTTTAAAGCTATTAGAATTTTTGAATAAATTTAATTATTATCGTCATTAAAAAACTACTGTATTTTCTGTTTTCTTTTCAAAATAATATTTCCATTAACGCTGACATGAACTAAATAAATATTAATATTTCAATTCTATATGAAATCATAAGTTTCAATATACATATATTTCTTATAATCACTAACATGTATCCGTTTTCTTCTCAAATCAATTTATTATAACGAAAAATACGATCAAAGTTGCGGGTACAACCTAGTATATGTAATATTAAAAAACTCATATTTCTAACACTAGTACGTCTCTATTTTGTCATCTGTCAGTCGTGTTTGAACTAGCGCGAGTGTAGGTCGTCAAACATGCAATTCAATTCAACAGGTAACGTTAAAAAGTGTAATTAATTAATGAATTTTAACATATTTGTAGTAAAAATTGTAATAAATTAATATTACTGTTATTGAATTGAAGTTATAGTGTATTTTTATATAAAACTTTTGTGATTTGATAGTTTAAATACGTGATATATTGATTTTATTAAATTATTTATTATATATACATAAAAATAGTCATTATTCTTGGTGTTATATATTTCCTTACATTTTAAAACGTACGTACAGTGCCATCTAGTTACATATTTTTGAACTATTCTAGTTTTGCCAATCTATAGTCTAGACAGAGTTATTATTTGCTATTACGATTTTGAATAAACTTAAAACATATTTTAGTTTATATTTTCAGTTTTCTTAATGTACTATGTTTTATTATAGCTCTATTACAATAAATAGATAAAAGTTTTATTGCATTATTTAAAACAAAATTATATGGAAAATTGAGTTTAATAGTTAAAATAATTAATTAATATATATGTATATATATTTTAATAATAGTGGCACTTTTAAATAATTTTATAGATAATATTTAAGAATAATTAAAAATTATCTACAAATTATTCACGTATTTTATTTCTAGGCTAATAATATGTATATCGATTCAAGTCTACTTTCATAAAAAAAAAAGTTTTTAATGTGAAAATATATTTAAATTGAAAAATCATCAAAATAAGGAACTTTGTTGACAGAAAACAAGTATTTAATTTTGTCACACGTTTTTTTTTATTAAAACTACGTATATTAGTTATTTTTTAACCAACATAATATTTATATTTGAAGGTCATTGACCTTGTTTAAATTTTTATTGAATCCTTATCAATGATATATTATATATTATAAAGTTTATATTACCTTTATGTCATTTAACATATAAAGATTAGGTACAGTCCAATAGATTAGTAATAAAAAACAAAAAAAGGACGAAAAAATTTCACTAATTTCCATTAAAATATATATAAAATGTTAAATATTATTTATATTGTTTAGACGATAGATAACTGGTATTACATCATATCATAATCATATCATATGATATGATACGACAAAGGTCTTTATATCATCAGAACACCAGCACGTTCGCTACAATCCTCTAAAAGACCAGTGGGTTTTGGTCTCACCTCATCGCTGCAAAAGACCTTGGAGCGGGCAGACGGAACCAGAATTAGAAGAACCCTCGGATGAAAACAATCCATTGAAAGCTGGTGCAATCAGGGCCAATGGACAGGTCTGATATATTTGGTTATTCTACTTACGTTAATACTTTTCCAAAAATATTTATTTTGTGTCTATTGGACCAGAATTCGAAGATATTTTCATAGGCAAGAGCTCATACAAGATAGTTAGCGATATTATGTTTAAAATTAGAATTTTGGGGATTAAAGGTACGATTTGCGATAAGATTTGATGGAAAAAGAAGATTTAGTAAAAGAAGAATAGTAAACGTAATATTTCTATTTGAGAAGGTTTTAAATGAAGATACTATAGATAAAGGTCTTTCAAGATCAGTCAATTAAAAATATAATTAAAATTTTGGCAGGTTTTTTGTATATGATTAGAATGGTTTAAAGTATTGATTAATAAAATAGCATTCCCAAAAAGAATCCTACTAATATTATAATTGCGAAAGTTTATAAGTGTGTGTGTATGTTTGTTACTTCTTCACGCTCAAACGGCTGAAGCGATTTTGATAAAATTTTGTATACAGGAAGCTGTCGTCCAGGAATAGCACATAGGTTACTTTGCATCCCGGAAATCCGCGAGTAACACCGCGGGGCGCAGCTAGTTATTCATAAAATCCAAATCTTTCATACGTTTTGATATTTCCAGAAGAATCCACACTACACGTCCACGTATGTGTTCCCCAATGACTTCCCAGCCCTTCTGGAGCGTGTCCCAGAGCCGCCGCCGTCTGAACACCCTCTGTTCCAGATGTCCCAGGCGAAGGGAACTTGCAGGTCAGTTTTTAAAACTCCAGAAGAATCAATGAATATAATTCTTTTTTTGCTTAATTTTTGGTTCTTTTTGCTTACTTTATTCACCTTTTTGCTTACTTTATGGACCTTTTTGCTTAATTTATGGACCTTTTTGCTTATTTTATGGGCCCTTTTTGTTTTCAAAGTTATATATTAAATATTGCAAATTTTTTTTTCGATACCCTTTACTGTAACTACGACGACAATATTCAGGTATCTTTATACGAAACAAAACTAATATTTACCAAACAAAAATATGTTCATCTCGTCTTAATGATCATGGTTTCAAAGTAATCAGGAGTATGCAGTTAAAATAATAAAATAGAAATAGTGATTAAAAATATTACTTTCATTTAAATTAAAACTCGTGAAAGTCTTATCTCATTAATTTAAGCCAATGTGAAAGAAAAACTATTCCTAATAATCAAGCATACGTATTAATAGGGCCAAAAATATGTTCATAGTTCAATAGAAAGTGATCAGATTGTTTCATCAATTTAATGATGAAATTGATGATTTTTTTTATGAATTGATGAGTTCTTTCCAGGGTGATGTGTTTTCATCCGGACTCCAAAATGACCATATCGCTGATGAAGGTTGAAGAAATATTGTCTGTCATCGAAGAGTGAGTTATATATACAGGGTGACTGGTGAATTACTATCAATATTTAAGGAGAATACTCGGTACATGATTCTCATTCGAATTATGTAAAAAATAGGCACTTAATTTTTGACAAAATTTCCGTATAAATAAATAAAGTGTTGACACGTTCCAAGTGTTCCAAGTGTGGACGCGTGCGGCGGCGTGCTGATACAACACTACGCCGCCGCAAGCGTATGTGTGTGTGAGTGTATACCTAATCTGTAGGGTGTGCACACGATGCGTAATTAATTACATAACTTTTGGTTAACTTTACTTAGAAGTTTATTAATATTTATGTTAAATTAATTTTTATTTTGTCATATATGATCGTCAAATATCACGTCCTCAAGTATCGATAGTAATTCACCAGTCACCCTGTATATTATTATAATGAATGAATTCGAATTCTTTCATTCGTTCACATATTTGAATGAATGTATTATATTGCAAAAAAGTTTTTTTTAATTTTAAAATATTTTGGTGCCTAAGAATCTGTCTTGAAAAATTTTTGTACTATTTTGGCAAACTCTTTATATTTTTCGTAATATTTCTGGTATTTTTAAATATAGTATTAAATTTATATGTAAATATATTTAGATATCTTCCAAAATTTTGTTTAGCCCCAAGTAAAACCATATAAAATTAGCAATTAAAAGATTGTACACGCAATTTATGTCCATAAAAACAATAAATTGATTTGTTCAGATGGGTACGACAAGCCCAGGAGTTGGGAAGACGTTATACTTGGGTCCAGATTTTTGAGAATAAAGGCTCTGTCATGGGCTGCTCGAACCCTCATCCACACTGTCAGATATGGGCGTCAAGTTATTTACCCGACGAGGGTAAAATTAAGGACAGGTAAATTATGTTATAGCACATATAGGTAGGTAGGTATGGTAAATATAGGATAGGACATACGCATACAGAAAAATACGGAGGTATTGTAGGTGGTAGAACCTAGCTGTGGTCAAGTTACTACAGCTCGAACATGGTCTGTCTCGACCGTAAGTACCACCCTCTCACAGAAGATCGGCGTGAAGTAGACTTTAATGGATGCGTTTTGTATGATGTGTGAGAGAGACGGTTGCCTTTTCCCAATCTTTCCTCTCTCTCACACAAGATCAAGGTCGACAATACATCTACAATATCTATTATGTGTCAGATGTCCATGGGCGATAGTGACTACTGCCCATCAAGTAGACCGTCTACTCGTTTGCCGACTTTGATATAAAAAAATAAAATAAAAATCATCTCCATATAAATTCCGTATCATATAATAAAGGTTTTAAGTCTTAATTCTGTTAACTTATATTTCAGATGTCAGAAAGAGTACTACATTAAAAATTCTAAACCAATGTTGATGGAATATTTGGAGCAAGAGTTGATAAGGAAGGTACGTGAATTAAAGGTAGATTGGGTTTTAGAAGTAGGGTAGAATCATAAAAATAAGTAACATGTACATATATATGAGACGAATCCTCTCATCATTCAATGTATTCACGGTGCGTGTGTCGGGTCCATCGTTGTAGTGAGAGGAGCTTCAACAGTGACTGTGACTTGTGTCCCAGGTGTAGGTTTAAGGGTGGACGGTCTAAACTCCTCTTTCTACCTAACAAAATTTGAAACTAATTGACACATTTTCCAATATAACTAGGAACGTATAGTTCTTGAGAACCAGTCTTGGGTGACCCTTGTCCCGTATTGGGCTGTATGGCCGTACGAGACCTTATTGTTACCGAAGCAGCACGTCCAAAGGATCACCGATTTGGACGAAGTTCAGAAGAAGGACCTGGCTATCATGATGAAGGAATTGAACACCAAATACGACAACTTATTCCAATGCAACTTCCCATATAGTATGGGGTGGCATGGTAAGTCTTAATAATCAATACTATAATATTATAAATGCGAAAGTAACTCTGTCTGTCTGTCTGTTACGCTTTCACGCCTAAACCACTGAACTGATTTTAATAAAATTTGGTACACAGATGGAGTTGACTTTGAGAAAGAACATAGGATAGTTTTTATCCTAGACCTTTGAAAGGTTCTCTTGGTAACGCGATATAACCGAAATCCACGCGGGTGAAACTGCGGGCGGAAAGCTAGTATTAATGAAATAATTATTTGAAAGTTTTTTATTATTTTAACTACATACGACGATGTTTTAGTAACTTTGCAGCAACCGTGCAGCAATTTAAGACGAGATGAACAAAAATAATAATAAAATACCGATAGTACGTACATTCGAAAATATTAGATTTATTTAAATAAATACTCGCAAAGTCTGAGATGTAGTCAATATGTTAGAGACTGTTTATGTATGTTTGTTCTTCTTTACTTAAAAACTACTGAACTGATTATGATGAAACTTTACAGTAATGTAGCTTAGATATCAGAATGAGACATAGACTGTGACGTATCCTGAAATAACTTATTGTTATTTAATATTAAGTTATCAAATATTTTAAATACATCACTATTTGGAGATTTGCAGTTATGTCTTCTTCTTCTTCCTGGTAATTTCCCAGCTTTAATCAGGGTCTGCCTAATTTGCAGTTATGTGTTTTCTTGTAAATATTAAACCTTGATTCATATAATAAAATCGACTGAAAGATGTCTGCTAGTAATATATTTACATTTTAAATTGTACAGGAGCACCCACGGGTCCGTCAGCTAAACCCGGGGATTCCCCGCATTGGGTATTCCACGGCATCTATCTCCCGCCACTCCTGAGATCGGCGAGTGTCAAAAAATTCATGGTGGGCTACGAACTGCTCGCACAACCACAGAGAGACCTAACACCCGAACAGGCCGCGGAGAAACTACGAGAATGTAGTCTAGTACACTACAAAAATATGTAGTCTAGACTTACTATATGACCTCGAAGTCTATATATGTATATATATATATATTGTTCTGAATAAAGTTTATACTGTTGAACTGTTTTCATTTCTTAACAATACCATTTCTTGTAACTTCATTTCAATGGCACATATATTTAATATACCCACAATCATGACATACTTTCTTTACTTAAAATCTCCTAATATTATGTATATTAATTTAATTGTAAACAGGAATAATAATTTACAAAACAAATCTAGATCACGAATACGTAAACATTTTTTGAAGTGGTAGAGCCTAGCTGTGGTCAAATTACTACAGCTCGAACATGTTCTGTCTCGACCGTAAGTACCACCCTCTCACAGAAGATCGGCGTGAAGTAGTCTTTAAGAGCTGCGTTGTCCTATTAATGAGAGAGACGGTAGCACTTTGCCTTTTCCCACCCTTTCCCGTTTCCTTCTCTTTCCCACCTTTTCCTTCCCCTCTTCCCAAATCAAAGGTGGCAACCATGAGCGACAGTATTACCTTCATCAGGTAGACCGTCTACTCGATTATCATATTTATCATTTTAAAAAATTATATATAGCATAATACTCTAAATCTTATTTTTTTATTATATTGATGTAATAAAAATTATAATAACTATATAAAAATACTAAGCATAAAATTATAGATTAAAATAATGGCGTCTGTTTGAAAGGCGTCTGTCAAAACGGAATTATCAAAATGGCTGTCAGAATATAAAGATACTTCGCTTGTTAATTTTATTTATGTATCAAAAATGAAGGAATTCGATATAAATATAGAAGGTTACAACGTAAATGGTATATGCGTTGGGTGTTTGAACAACAACAGGAGGATGTGTTATGTTAAAACATTTAATGATTGTTACAAAATGCTAGCGAACATAGACGTAAGTAAAAATTGTTCAAAATATTTAATTAATATAATAATAATTAAATAAATATGTTTAATATGTATTTTTATATATTTCGGGTCATGTTTCAGTCATGGAAATTGATGTAGACAATAATTAGAAAAGAGCATTGTACCTTACATTTGTCGATTATTTTCGTATCAAATTATTAATTTTATAATATATATAACTTAACATAATCACAATGAAAATAATCTGATTTATTTCATATATAATAAATATATGATATCAAATAAAAATCCTTATATCTTAAATACATACAAATCCCCAAAAAAGTTACCAAAATCATGTTTCATATCTATCTTTCCAATAAAAAACTTATCTTAAATACATACAAATCCCTAAAAAGTTACCAAAATCATGTTTTATATCTATTTTTCTCGTTACCTACATATATTATTATTTTCAACAAAATCTGTACAGCAATTTTATATTTTTCATCAGGTACCGATAGGTATATCAATAAAAGTGTGTTACGAATGTGCAGCATTAATGAAGAAAGTGTATACATTTAGAGAACAAATTATTAAATCATTCGACATACTCAGCGCATATTCTAAAAAGGTGAGTTGTTTTATATAAACTAGTTATTGCTCTTGACTTCGTCAGTGTTAGTTTCAGAATTAGAAATGTATATATCGAGCGAACTCTGTTCCTTAAAGACAGTAGATGAGATTTTGGATTTGATCAACTTATATTTTTTCAATCGTATGTAAAGTATCCTATGTCCTTTCTATGTTCTAATCTATCTCTCCAAAAATCTTCATCCAAACCCGTACAGTTGTTAGAGTTGTAAATAGTGTAACTAACACAACTTTCTTGTATATATAAGGATTTAATCCAAAATTAATATATTCAGTTTAATTTCTCCATAGAAAAAATCTATGTATGTTTTTAAAAATTACAAAAAACCTACTTCTAAATTTGCCTATTTTATATTACTAAGTAATCGGAGGCAATTTTTTTTGATAACACAATATATGAGAATCTCAGTATCGGAAAGTAATTTGCAAGTGACTTATGTATAAATTGGTAGGAAGTATCTCAATTAAAAAGCTGTTATTTTTATCTTAGATGAATTTATTAAGTATTTCTTAGTAAATCGTGACATAATTAATTCTTTCATAAAAATGGTAAATAATATTGAATAATAATATGTCATATATAATGTAGGTAGATTAGCCAAAACTATTCACAACATGTAAGGCAGACCCTGGCTAATGCTGGGAAATTGCCAAGAAGAAGAATGACGAATGAGAAGAAATAGATGACTATTATATTAGGTTCCTTCATAATCTTGCTACTTTAAAATACATATTACGATTTTAATATAGTTTTATTGACAATTATATGAAAATTTCCTAATATTTTCCATTATTTCTCTCATTTCCAGCACACGATCCTCAATTCACCAAAAGACTTAACATGTAACTCAATACAAAGACTATCTCATCACTCGGTGAACACGAGTCACTTGGCCGATGATGTGGAAGTAGATATTGTGAAGACTGAAGATATATTCTGTGGATTTGGTAAGTTATATTACATACTAGCTTTCTGCCCGCAGCTTCACCCGCGTTGAGTACGATTATATCGCGTTACCAAGAGAACCTTTCAAAAGTCTGGGATAAAAACTATCCTATGTTCTTTCTTAAGGTTAACTCTATGTCTTTACCAAATTTCATTAAAATCAGTTCAGTGGTTTAGGCGTGAAAGCGTAACAGACAGACAGAGTTACTTTCGCATTTATAATATTAATAGGGATTATGTGTTATTAAATAAAGTTTTGCAATTTTAAGCTTAAAACTTGTCTTATTGTCGTTTTTAGTTAAAATATATATTAATTATCATAAAATTTGACGGAAATAGCGTGAAAGTCAAAATATAAACTTCAAAATATATACTTTATTATAAATAACAGAACAAAAATTTAGTTTCGAACAATAATCACTATATTTAATAAGTTTTACGATGTAAAAACTAACCATGACTAAAAACGAAGGCACTGTACGATTTTAAGACACCATTTATATAGAAAACAGTCATATTTAAATACATTTTCACTTTAAATAACAAACGAGTCTCACAAGTCACCAGTACAAATTTTCCCGCGAAAATGTATAAACATTATGTCAGAATCATATGACGTAAATAATTCTGATTGGAATTTAAGTACATATCCGTTATTGTGAATGAAATCGTTATTAAATAAAACTATTTAATTAATTAAATAAATATATTTATTATTACTTTGATAATACTTTTTTTAAATTATAAGTCTTTGTAACAAAAATATGTAAACAGTATTAATAATTACAGATATAAAATGTATGTAAGATGTTATTGTTTTTTTTTAATATTTTGATATCAGAGCAAATGTATTTATTTATAAAAAATAATTTTTAAATGTACATTATTTCCAAAGAGCGTTGATGTCAGGCAGGCGGCAAAACTATTCACAACATGTAATTCAGACCCTGGCTAAAGCTGGGAAATTGCCAGGAAGAAGAAGTTTTATATGTATATTATTTTTAACAGCTCAATTAGAGGAACAGGAATTGAAATCGGAAATAGGTGATATATTCGTTCAAGAAGATAACTTCGACGGAGTGACGTCAGATGATGACGTCATGCTATCGTCTCTCAAGAAGAAGAAAGTAAAGGAAAAGGTGAGTTTGCTATTGGATAAGAGATGGCGCTAGTTGTATGTTATATTAATGTTTTACATAGTTAAATCTAAGATTTATTAAGTTTTATTCATTTAAATGAAACTAATATGTTTCGGAATATACTACGCGACTTTATTTTTGTCAAAAAATAATATGAGTTTCATTTAAAAGTACATTTTAGTTTGTAAAATTATTATGTATATTAATTTGATTGTTTAACTGAATATTATAGATAATTAGTTCAGATGGTTTAAGTTTTAAAGTAATTTTATATGAACCTAGAACATTATTAAAACTTTAAGATTCAAAAATTTAAATTCTTGGATATAAAGAAAAAGTATAAGATACCTTAATAAAATGAAAAATACAAGTCTACTAATTTAACAATGAATAGATGCTTTAAACCCTAGTGAAGTTATGAAGCATTTTCAATTAAAGAGCACATTATTACATAGAAAATGAGTTAGTGCAAGAAATACACTCATTGTATGTGGCAAGAGAAATAAAATTAGCTAAATAATTAAAGATAAATGTAGACTGAGTAGAATATAAGATTTTTTGTTTTCATATAATTCAATAATAATAAATCTATCTAATGGAAAAGTTGTGTTTTTATAATTATTTTAAGTAAATTATAGGGTATATACCTATACCTTTCACCAAGACATGAAGAAATGATATGTGAAATGAGACTTAAGTGTTTCTGTTGTAATTTATTGAGTGACTATAATGTATACATAATTCTAATATTTCTGAATTTCATATAAATTAGTTAAGTTTTGGTACCCAAGCAAGTATTGATAATATTTTATATTAATAAAAATTGACAATAATTCAGGTCTTTTCATTGAATATGTAATCTATGTAGGTGGCAAATTATCTAAAGATTTCTGACTCTCTTATTCTGAATCTTTTTATGAATAAAAAATATTGCAAATTAAACTTATTTTATATTATTATGTTTCCAGTGGCTATTTCTTTGGTGACACAGTATATAATCTCTTGGAAATTGAGAATCTTCATATTGAAACTTAATTCATACATTTCTTAAAAATCATTTGATATAAAGTATCTCAATTATTAAGCTTTTATATGAGATAAATTTATTAAGCATTTGTTAGCAAATAGTGAAATAATAGAGTTTTTCACAAAAATGGTAAATATTATTGAACAATAATATGTCAAGTATAATGTAGGTAGATTAGCCAAAACTATTCACAATATGTAAGGCAGACCCTGGCTAAAGCTGGGAAATTGCCAGGAAGAAGAAGAATTTAGGTCAATGACTATTATATTAGGTCCCGTTGTAGTCTTGCTACTTTACAATACTGTATATTATAAATTTAATATAGTTCTTTTGATTATTAAATGAAAATTTCTTAATATTTTTCATTATTTCTCATATTTCCAGCACACAATCCTCAATTCACCAAAAGACCTAACATGTAACTCAATACAAAGACTATCTCATCACTTGGTGAACACAAGTCACTTGGCCGATGATGTGGAAGTAGATATTGTGAAGACTGAAGATATATTCGGTGGATTTGGTAAGTTATAATACATACTTTAATATTATTCTATTTTAATTTAGATAATTATCTATATTTATAAATTTCATCGAAATAGATTCATCGGTTGAAATTATTTTGATATAAGTTAATAGCTTATGCGGAGCCATAAATAATAGTCTTGGAATTTATTAAATTTTTTTGCTTTTTTCAATGAATAAATAGAATTAAATATTCAATGTCCGTCTCCTTGTCTAAATCTATCTCTCACCAATTTTCATCCAAACCCGTACAGCCGTTAGAGTTATAAATAGTGTAACTAACACGACTTACTTTTATATATATGTCTAATTAATTAGTAGATATGTTCTCTATGATTGTCAGATTAATAAAATCTTTGTCATTTTTGGAATAAAAAACGAATTTAAATAGTATTAGAAGATAGAATTAAACAAAATTCAATATAAAATTAGTAATAAATATATTAATTTAATATTATTTCTTATAAATTAGACAAAACAGGTATTGCTGACATTTTCGTTCAAGAGGATGCGTTTGATAGAGTGACTTCAGATAATGATAATATGTATTCAAGCAAGAAAACGAAGAAAAAAAAGAAAAAAGATAAAGAAAAGGTTAGTGTGTTTGGATAATATATGGCGCTGGCTACTAAATTTTATTCCCTTATATATATACTAGCTGACCCAGCAAACGTTGTTTTGCCATATAAAAATATAGGAACTGGTGATAAAAAAAGTCTAAATTTTAGGTTGTATGGATTTGTTTAATGTTACATTATAAAAAATTTCGTCCGAAAATAAGTTAAAAAATTATGAGTGAACAACCCTTTTGTCTTAGGGGTATGAAATATAAATGTTGGCCGATTCCCAGAGCTACTCAATTTGCTCACAAAATGTCATCAAAATCGGTCCAGTCGTTTCGGAGGAGTTCTCTGTCTAACACCGCGACACGAGAATTTTATATATAACATATAATTTATAGGCTATATGTTCGTCTATAGTGTTCTAATTAACTAACTTTATTACATTATTATACAAAAAGGCACATAGGAAATGAAATAATTTTTCTATTACTTTTGCTCTTGTACTAAAAAATAAACATTTTTATAGTATTAGAAAGTATATACATATATTTAAGGATTTCTTGAAAGTTAAACCCCAAAATCTATCATACTTAGTGCATTATTAAACTTTTTACGTATTTTTGAGCCTATTTTGTTGCAGAAACAGGAAAAAACGCCACGAAAGCTCAAAAATCTGCCGTCCTTCGTGGAGTTGTATAGTATGAGCGAGACGGAGATGTGGAGTGTGAGGGAGACAGATATAGCGAGTGAAGAGTTCAGCAGATTGAGGTACAAGTGTGAGACTTGTGTGATAGCGTTTAATACCAAGAGATTGATGGAGATGCACCAGAGAGGGAAACACGTGGCGGTGAGTGAGATAGATATAGATAGATACATAGAGATATAGATAGATATAGATATAGATGGTTGTTACTATCGCTCTGATGGTAAGAACGCCAAAATGTTTGTATTGTCAACAAAATTATAGTAGTATATATATCTATATAAAAATGAATTGCTGTTCGTTAGTCTCACTAAAACTCGAGAACGGCTGAACGGATTTATCTTATCTTAGTCTTGAAATATTCGTGGAGGTTCAGGGAAAGTTTAAAAAATGAAAAAAAGTGAATGTATTCCGGGAAAACCCTAAAAACAGACCTTTTCTATTTCCCATACAAATGTTTTTTGACATTAGATCTGACAACTAACTAATATGTTAATCATTCTGTTCGATTGAAACAGGAAATATTTAATCAATACCAATACCTGGTTATTTAACACGGAATAGAGTTCGCCCGGTCAGCTATACATATATTAATGACGAAATTATCGCGAAGTCGCGGGTAAAACTAATATGTATATATATATACATATATATATATATATATATATATATATATATATATATATATATGTGTGTTTATTATTTCAGAAGAGTGAGTCAGCCCAGCAATGCGACGTCTGCACAGCTTACTATCTGACCGCTGAGAACCTCTCCGCTCATAGGAGGCTACATTTGAACGCATACAGGTTACACAAATACAATATATATATCTTCTTCTACCTGGCAATTTCCCAGCTTTAGCCAGGATCTGCCTTACATGTTGTGAATAGTTTCGGCTAATTGTTTTTATGACCGGCCGCCTGACATCAACCCTCTTTGGGAATGCATTAATCAGGGATGTCTAAATACTCTTATAAAGTACATATGACTCGGAACATCACATATGCCAGAATCAAACCCGCACCCTCATGTATGAGAGGCGGGCCTTTTAATCACTAGGACAACACTGACTTACACAATATATACATATATATAGTACAAATAAAGTAAGGCTACTGTTACACATGCTTATTTTAATCACGGAAGCATGCTTTAAGCACTTCTGTTTACTAGCATGTGTGTCGAAGTGTTACTTAAAATAAGCATGCTTATTTGCATGTGTAACTGTAGCCCTGTATCAGAAACGATTCATTCAATAAACATAACTATTATTAAACAATATTATCAAGTATACGATATATACGATCAAATGGATTATGAGTTTAGGATGAATTTAGGTTTTTATTTGATAGCACTACCTATTAAAGAATGGTGTGAGTCATGTTATTTACTAATGTAGCCACTATTAAATAACGAACCAAACCTTAACTAGAACAAACTTATTATTATCTTTAACCGAAAAACATTTAGTAAGTTAAATTCAATTTACAAATACTTATTTAATTTTTTTGTTTCAGATGTATAAAAGATTTTTAATATATATATGTTTATATATTTGTTCTGTTTTCAGATGTACTGAATGCGGTCTTGTATCGTGTGTGAAGCGAGTAATGTCTGCTCACGATTGCGCAAAACGAGCGGAGCGATACAGCTGTGCGGACTGTGACTTGATGTTTAGGTTAGTAACATATACAGGGTGACTGGTGAATTACTATCAATATTTAAGGAGAATACTCGGTACATGATTCTCATTCGAATTATGTAAAAAAAATAGGCACTTAATTTTTGACCAAATTTCCGTATAAATAAATAAAGTGTGGATACGTTCCAAGTGTTCCAAGTGTGGACGCGTGCGGCGGCGTGCTGATACAACACCATGCCGTCGCACGCGTGTGTGTGTGTGTGTATACCTAATCTGTAGGGTGTTCACACGATGCGTAATTAATTACATAACTTTTGGTTTACTTTACTTAGAAGTTTATTAATATTTATGTTATATTAATTTTTATTTTGTCATATATGATCGTCAAATATCACGTCCTCAAGTATCGATAGTAATTCACTAGTCACCCTGTATACATATATATATACGTATATATATATTGAAGTTAAACTTATTACGCAACTTCTAACAAGTTTGCGTTAAATGTTCAACGATGAGTTCAAAGATATACAATGTATAAAGTTGGACAGAGAAAGATAGTTTGTGGAAGTAACTGAAATTTGTACTTGTTCTATATTTTTTTTTTTTATCATTTAGTTTGATTTGATATATATAATTTAGAACAGTATATTTTCAAATTTAATAATTAGCCAAAAACTATTCACTACAATTAAAGCAGACCCTAGCTATAGCTGGGAAATTGCCAAGAAGAAGGAGGTAATTTCCAAATTTATTATGAGAATTGTTTATTATTACGAAGTCTAACTCATAACCACTATTTCTTTATACAACTATTCCCTTTAATATATAGTTCCAGATCCCGCTTGTCGTATCACCGGGCAGCATCTCACGGTGAGAGGCCCCAGTGTGATTGTTGCGGGAAAATATTCGCTAACAAGATGACGCTCAAATATCATCTAAAGTGAGTGTGGCGTGAAATAAAGTAATTTTAAATAATTAATTGGATAAATATTTAATATCTGAAGAAGGATAGAAGTATAGACAATCTTAGTTTTAAGAACCATTCAAAAGTCTGGAATAAAAACTATCCTATGTTCTTTCTCAATGTCAACTCTATGTCTGAACCAAATTTCATTAAAATCAGTTCAGTGGTTTAGGCGTGAAAGCGTGACAGACAGACAGACAGAGTTACTTTCGCATTTATAATATTAGTAGGGATTTAAATAAAGTATCACTTTAATTATTATATGTTTAAAGATATTATTATATAATTAAAGTAATATTTTCTTATACTACTTGTTTTTTATCATTTTAAATACATACTACCCACTTTTGGTTACTTTGCAACATGATCATTAAGACGAGATGAACAATAACAACGCCTATTACATTCGAAACTATTAGTTTCATTTAATTTTAATATAAAATCTTAGATCTCATTATATTATTATTAATAATTTTCAGAGTTTTACCTCAAAATAAGAACGGCGCAGCCAAGGAGCCAGTCACTATACCTTGTAAAGGATGTGATAAAGTCTTTCACTCTAAGAAGAGTTATCGAGCGCACGTGTGAGTATGTCATTAAACTATAACTACTAAATAAAACATTATTTATATTCAGTATTATAAAAGTCATTATATATGTACGTTTGTCATCATCATCATCCTATCAGAGCCCACTGCTGAACTTCTCATATGTAGAAGGTTAGAGCATTAATCACCACGCTCGCTGAACACGGGTTGGTGATTACAAACTTATAAGTCCATGTTTCCTCACGATGTTTTCCTCCATCAGTCAGTGATGTCTAAATACTCTTAAAGCACATATGATTTGGAATATCGCATTGGTACTTGCCAGGATCGAACCCGCGCCTTCATGCATGAGAGACGGACCTTTAACCACTAGGGTACATATTTTTTTATATAAATAACATCTTTATATATATAATTCTTCTGTGAGTGTGTATGTCACTGAACTTCTCTCTCAAACGACTGGACCGATTTTGATGTTTTTTTTTTTGTGTGTGTTCAAGGGGATCTGGGAATGGTTTAGATACACAATTTGTCCGCTGGACAATGTTTTTTTAATTAATTTTTAATTTATTAGTAGTTGTTGATACAAACGTTTTTTTTGACATGAGATTTGACAACTAACTAATATGTCAATCAATCTGTCGCACTTCAAAACACGGAGATTTGTGGCTTTAATAGGTAAATTCCAAAAATATATTAAAAAAATGTAACAGATATTTCTTGATTATAGGGCGATACGAAGTTCACCGGGTCTTCTATGTAGTATATATATATATTTCTTCATTATATTCTATATCAAATATCAATCTACCCTCAGCGTGATTCACGACAACCAGTCCTATCCTTGTCCCACGTGCGGGAAACTATTTCAATGGAAGCGCAACCTCGCACGTCATGCTCGCAACCACCGCGAACGCGCCGCGGGAACCACGCACGCTTGTCACGCGTGCGGGAAGACGTTCGCTTCACGAGATTGCTACAATAACCACATGAGACTCAGCAAGAAACATGTGCACGAGAGTCAGTACACGTGAGTGGGAATAGATGTGTTTGGGATGGGATTTTGATAGATTGGGGTGGGTTTTTGATAGATTGGACTGGGATTTTAATAGATTGGGGTGGGATTTTGATAGTTCGTAATGATTTATTATCAGCTTTTGAAGATATTAACTTGATTTCATGTATTAATATAAATTTTTCACGAAATACATATTAAATTTGTTAACAATTCGGTCACTTTTGACCAATGCACTATCTATCATGACTCCTAACACGACTTTCCTCGTAATAAACATTAATGGGTTAATGAAATCTTCTTTCAGCCACGCCTGTACCTACTGCGGAAAGAAGTTCCCAACGAAATGGTGTTTGGTAGATCACGTGGACTGGGAACATTTGAAGAGGATTAAATATCAATGTAGTATATGTTTTAAGGTAAATAATATATATACTAGCTTTCCACCCGCGGCTTCGCCCGCGTGGAGTACGGTTATATCGCGTTTCCAAGAGAACCTTTCGAAAGTCTGGGATAAAAACTATCCTATGTTCTTTCTCAAGGTCAACTCTATGTCTGTACCAAATTTAATTAAAATCAGTTCAGTGTTTTAAGCGTGAAAGCGTAACAGACAGACAGAGTTACTTTCGCATTTATAATATTCGTAGGGATGGAATTTAAGACTTTCGTGAGTATTTAACTAACTACAACATACTTCCAACGTTTCGGTTATTTCGTTACTGTGATTAAAACTGATAATATTTTTTATTCATAACTCAAAATAACAAGTATTTTTCACAATGTAACTAATATTTTTCGTATACTACGCGTATTTTATTATTTTTTCAAACTAAACCGTGATCACGGTTGTAAAGTAACCGAAACGCTGTTATATGTAGTTAAAATAATAATAGAACATATTATCTTGAAATATAAAAAGATATTGTATTTTAATAATTATTATGTTACTAAAGATAGTTGTTCAAACTATTTGGATTTAAATTAAACAATTAAGAACTTTATTACTGTTTATATTAAGTTTATTTTACATAATATTGTCATTTCTTATACTTTCGTTTATGTTTTAAAGGCTTTCAAAACTGCTAAGATAATGTACGCACACATGAGCAATTTACACGCGGGCAAGAGAGTTACGTTGGGAGAACATTTGTGTCATGTTTGTGGGAAGTCATATAAGGTGAGTTATATTTATATTAGGGTATTTGAGGGGTGCAAAGGGTGAAATGAATGCACCCTCATGATTAAACAGTAAATTAAGTGGCTAAAGTTATAATTAATGTACTGTAAAAAAAATCTGGCCCAAGAGTAAGAAACATAACAAGTAGTTAGTTTATTTTATAATAATATGTTTTCTTTTTGATATTTTGCGTCACTAATTTCTCAGAATCTACTTATATATATTATGTTTGCTAGTATTATCGATTGGGAATTTATATACTTATATACTACATATGCAGTTTATTTCTTACATACGCATTTTTAGGCGCTAGGGTTTGACTCAATATAAACAATAATAGAAAATACGAATATTCCATTCATTATAATCGCAGGTAAAATCGAAAGGCCCTTTTATACGCAACAATCGGATTACTAGAAAATTACACTACATACACGTTTATATTAATACTAGTTAGCAATAGAAATGTTCTAGAAAACGTATAGATGATAGTCACGTCACTCGCCACTAGATGGCGGTGCTGTTAAATATTGAGAAAATTCTACAAAATTCTCTAAACCACTCTTTAAAGCGATACAGTATTTATATCTATTGTATAAAACATTAATAAATAATAATATTCCTATTATGAGAGGTCTAAATATATCTATTATCTCAACATTAGGAGATCACTGAAAATCAGTGTAGAAGCAACATTGCTTCTATTTTTCACTGAGTGGTTCTCCTTTTGGTTAAATTACACTGCTGCACACTTATTATTATTGTTATTGATTTTTAACATTAATATTTGTCCTGTGTTAGTTGTTATTTTATTTTATTTTCCTTTTTTGTTTACATGGGATAAGTTTTACTCTGTTTTTTTTTTGTTATTTATTTTGTAGTGGTGTAATCTTTTAACCGATTAACGTTTATTATTATTATCTTGACTATTTCGTATGTATTTTCCGAATACCCTATAATATAAATAACGTTTGTTTGTTTGTATGACGTCATCAGACAGTGAAGCGTCTCAAGAGTCACGTGTGGGCGATGCACACGAACAGGTCTCAAGAGAAGAGCTTCAAGTGTCCCTCATGCCCGGCGGCGTTCAGCTGGCACACATCCGTGTATAAACATATGAAGATGATGCATCCCAAGAGGGCTAAGGTGGGAGGGAGATACACACACACAGACAGAGACAGACAGACACATAGATGAACAGAGAATAAAGAATGAACAGAGATCACATACACACACAGAGGCAGACAGACACACACACGGATACAGAGAATACACACACCCACATATAATATATGCACATAGAGAAACAGAGATCACAGGCACACACACACACACACACACACACAGGCACACACACACACACACAAACATAGATAAACAAAGAATATATGTACATAGAGAAACAGAAATCATACATATACACATACACACACACAGACACAGCTAAGAAGAAAATACTACACACAGAGAGTAAGATAACATTTAATCATTGTGCTATTTCTAGCTGAGAAATAATTTACTATTATGAAACACTTATTTTAACAATTTCTTTATATTTTTTTCTAGCGATTGATATCAAAGTAGCTGTTAATATTTGTGTTTTTTAATGTACTTTTTACAATTGTTCTAATCAAAATTTAATCACCTAACAATAATGATATTCTTTAAGACATGAATATGAAATCTTCAAAATAAATCCATGTATATATGTGTATAAATAAACAAATATTTAAAAATTAAATTATAACATTTCAGCCAACGCGTGTGGCGAGCGTCAGAGAATTGTTCCCGGAACAAACCGTCACACAATAAAATATAAAACAAACAACTGGTTTTATTATTTCACATCTACTCTCAAAGACTTTAATTAATTTATGTTATGATAAGTTACATATTAAAAAATGAAGATTACTATATATTAAGATATATGTGTGTATATATATATAGTTAGGTATAAAACATTTAACTATATTTAAATGTCTTGAATACTTTAAATTTTTACTACATTAGTCCGTACAATTTTCTTTCATAGTTTTCACGATACTAATGTTTGAAGTCAAATAATATAAAATTCGAATATCATAATATTTAGTTATTATCAGAGCAGAAAATAAAATTATTAATTAGAATTTATAAAAGGCAGCTTCTCTATTAATATCTGGTAGGTATCAGTTTATGAAAAGTCTTATTATAATTCTATCCCTATAGCTTTGTAGTAATTTGTAGGTACTAGGTAGTTGTGAAAAAGTAGAATTGTCTTCAATAAGGCAAAAAATATCTTGTGTTAATCATAACTTATGTTAAATGACACTATATGTTCTTCTTATAAAGAGGCGGATTTGCTATTAATTTGCAGCACCCGTGATCATGTGTAGACAAGATGAAAGTCTTTCATAATATACCAAAAATATAGTTTCTTTTCGAATAAGTATACGCGGAAATTTTAATTGTATGAATCACAAGTCCCAGTCACTGTTGAAGCTCCTCTCACTACAATGATGGACCCGACACACACACACCGTGAATACATGGAATGATGAGAGGTTTTATCTCTGTTGATCATACACCTGTTAAACTTTGAGTACGGAAGAGTACCCGTTAGTGCTCGACACAGTATATAAAATGGCTACAAATAATCTTTTTTTATATAAAAATAATCAGTAAAAAACAGTTTCCACAATAATTGAATTAAAAGTCTAGCGTAATATATTTTAAAATGATCACCATAATGATCGTATAACTTGTAAAAATAAAATATAAAGTTAAATCAATGTATTATATTTATTATAGCTTATTTTTATTCATTAGTACATATATACGAAAGATAAGCATTAAGTATTTGTAGGTATCAAAAACCTGTTCAATATCTTATTAGAAATATCTATAAGCAAGTAAAACTAATATTTTTGGCTGTACTAACATTTTTTATTATTTATTTTTTCATCTCGTCTGTCTCTGAGCGCAGTTGTTGCAAAGTATAAATCGAAACATGGAGTGTATGTAGTCAAAATCATAAAAAACGTGGAATACCTCCTTAAATATTAGTTATATTCAATTGAATACTCGGGAAAGTCAATATCATTTTCTATAAACAAAAATCTCTAATATTTTTATATCATTTTTCTATAAAAGATATGCAGATACTCAAAGATTTAAATAATTCAAACAAGCGTACATTTGAACCTATGTATTTTTTTAATAAGTAAAAAAAATCAATACGTTTTTATGCATCTTAAAAATAACAATTAATTTCTTTACTTAATCTTTATAAAAACTGAATATCACACAGGTAACATTCGCGCAATGAAATTTTACTCGCTTCAAGAAGTAACGTCATTGTCAAAGTCAAAAATTAATCATGAAATTCTTACATATGATTGTAAGATAAATAAGGATTATCTAATAATGGTCTGGCGAGGTTATGACGAGACGGTCACAACTGTTGATGGTATTGGAAAACATAATTGGAATACACACAAAGGTAACTGAAATATGATAGATTAATCTTCTTTTACCTGGCAATTTCCCAGCTTTAGCCAGGCTCTGTTGTGAATAGTTTTGGCTAAATGTTTTTACGACCGGCCCGCCTGCCTGACATCAACCTTCTTTGGGAAGCTTTGATAAATTTACAATGTTTAATAACCAAGAAATATTCGGCATCATTAGTGTGAGTACAAATTAACTATTAATCAAATGGAAAACCAAAATAAATTGTACAGGACTTGCAACTGAGTAGTAGTGATATTACTTTGGCTATTTTCGATCAATTAGGATTTTCTATAACAAAACAAAAATTTCGAATTGGTTCACGTAATGGGCATATTCTTATAATAAATAGCCACTTAATTTCTCAACGTTCAGTTGCTTATACAACTGTAACAACACTTTCATCTCCTTTGCGTAAAAAGTGCGTAGTATTTATAACTTATGTAGTTTCATTTAACATAAGCTTTTACAATGAAATTCTATTTTTTTTTACTTTCAATTAATTTATTAACCAAGGTTAGTGGAGTTATTTTAAATGTTATTTTCATAAACCTATAAATAGTATTACTATATTTCACGCACAACATCATGTCATACTAAAAAAATCGATTGAAAGTGTGTTTAATGAAAACACATTATTCTTCTAACTGAAACTGCTATTTCTAGTATACAGAACTAAGATTGACAGATACTAGTGTAGCTGAGAAGCTTCTTCTTCTAACTGGCAATTTCCCAGATTTAGCCAGGGTCTGTCTTACATGTTGTGAATAGTTTTAGGTAATTGTTTTTACGACCGACCGCCTGCCTGACATCAACCCTCTTTGGGAATGCATTAATCAGTGATGTCTGAATACTCTTATAAAGTACATATGACTCGGAAAAATCACATTGGTACTTGCCAGGATCGAACCCGCGCCCTCATGCTTGAAAGGCGGGCCTTCTAACCACTAGGCCACCACTGACTTAGTTTAGAACCTTATTATATAATGAAAAAATAAGATTTTTATATCAGATAAGAATTAAATAATAAGATAATTATTATCACGATACCTTTAAATACTGTGACTTAATATAATGCGATATTTTGTTGTTAGGCGAATAAGGAACAAAAGGTTGGTTTGATCATAAGCTTGGTTTCTTGAAATTAAATAAAAAATCACTTAAAAAGCCCATTACAAATTCGACCCGTACTTATGAAATATTACGAGTATTTATATATAACATAAATACTCATAATAATTATATATATTATTGTATAGATTTTTACTGTGCCAGCCTTTAAAAAATCGTGGGTAATGTGTTCATTCCATACTTGATAACATTTTGAAGTCCATATTTACGGAAAACATTTCAAAAATTAAATCAATTACGTTTATTTTTAAGCTTTGAGATTAAAAGCGATCATTATATCCTACGTATTCAATACTTTTGTCCCAAAAACGTGTTAAAAGAACGTGCTATATATAGTTCTTGATGTTTTCAGAACCATGTCCCGATATGACACTATAGTTATCGGTCTGGGTGCTGCCGGAGCTACAGCAGCTTCAACACTAGCTAAGTCTGGCAAGAGAGTGTTAGCGTTGGAGGCGCAGGACAGGCTCGGGGGAAGAGTTCACACGGTGGAGTTCGGGGATGGAGTAGTGGAACTAGGAGCTGAATGGTATGTAGATTCTTTACTAGCTTTCCGCCCGCGTGGAGTTCGGTTATATCGCGTTTCCAAGAGAAGTTTTCAAAAGTCGAGGATTAAAACTATCCTATGTTTTTCCTCAAGGTCATCTCTATGTCTGTACCAAATTTCATTAAAATCAGTTCAGTGGTTTAAGCGGGAAAGCGTAACAGATAGACAGAGTTACTTTCGCATTTATAATATTAGTAGGGATAATGAGAGCCAAAAAGAGAAAAACATGTCCAAACACGTTTTATCATGATAAGGATTTACATTACCAGACGCGTTGATAATTTTTTATCATTTTGCGTAACTAACGTCTGGCTTGTTAATCTTAGATAGAATTCATTATGGCAAAAAATGCTTTAACTTTTTTGTAATGCCAATAACAGAATATTAATCTGAATAAAATTTATATATCTAATCATCATCATCTTATCAGAGCCCACTGCTGAGCCTCTTCTCACATGGACAAGGTTTGAGCATTAATCACCACAATTCCTCAAGACGGGTTGGTGATTTCAAACTTATAATTGTGAAATTATAAGTCCATGTTTCCTCACGATGTTTTCCTTCATCGGTCAGTGATGTCTAAATACTCTTATAAAGTACATATGACTCGGGAACATCACATTAGTACTTGCCAGGGTCGAACTCGCGCCCTCGGCAACGAGAGGCGGGCCTTTTAACCACTAGGACACCACTGACTTATCCCTACTAATATTATAATTGCGAAAGTAACTCTGTCTGTCTGTCTGTTACGCTTTTACGCCTAAACCACTGAACTGATTTTAATGAAATTTGGCACAGATATATAGTTGACCTTGAGAAAGAACAGGATAGTTTTTATCCCAGACTTCTGAAAGGTTCTCTTGGAAACGCGATATAACCGAACTCCACGCGGGCGAAGCTGCGGGCGGAAAGCTAGTATGTATATATCTAATAGAAATATTATTTTTCTTACAGGATTCACGGTACGCACCCAAATATTGTTTACGAGAATGTCCAAAAGAACAACATTAGTTTAGTTCCTCAAGAGTTTTACCTGATGACATACAAATCTGATGGAACGAAAGGAAATAATGTTGTTATCAACGAATTGGCGCCGCTGGTTATTGATAATACAATCAACTTATCAGCACCCGCCATGCCCGCTGGATTTAACATCACGAGGAAGTAAGAAAACTAATTCTACCCTCAATTAAATCAATTTTACTGTGGTATTTCTTTGGATAGATATAATTGAAATTATAATTAAAGTATTAATGATCAAGCTGCATTAAATCTCATAGAATCTCTTGTATCCAATTAATGATGTGATAGAGCCTAGCTGTGGTCATAACTACAGCTCGAACATGTTCTGTCTCGACCGTAAGTACCACCCTCTCACAGAAGATCGGCGTGAAGTAGTCTTTAATGGATGCGTTTTGTATGATGAGTGAGAGAGACGGTTGCCCTTACCCTTTCCCCTCCCTTTCCCACCTTTTCTCCCTCTTACCTGATCAAGGGTAGCAACACATGCAAATCTATAATATAAAATAATTAGGTAATGTTAGTGTTGTCAATTCAAAATCACTAAAAATATTTTTAAAATGATTAAGAACCCATATATTAGATGATTACACTGATCTTGTTTAATATCACTACTGTTTATTATTTGTACTCTTAATTGTAGTTATAATTTTAAAAATTTCCTTTGTAAGAGAACTTTGTTCTTTTTGGAAATAAACTTCTTTAAACCTAAACCTAACCTAATGAAATACATTATTTTAGAATTCAAGAACACCTAAAAGAAAATCATCCAGATTTGGCAAAAGATCGCGAATTTTTGGACGAAGTTATGCCATTATTGAACCTGATTGTGAATAACCACGAGTCTTCAAACGATTGGAACGATGTCAGTTCAAGATCAAAATACACGGAACTTGGCGGACCACAGCATTTGAGTTGGCATAAACTGGGATATCATACGTTCTTTAATATGTTACTGGTAAATATAATACTAGCTAGCGTGGAGTTCGGTTATATCGCGTTCCCAAGAGAACCTTTCAAAAGTCTGGTATAAAAACTATCCTATGTTCTTTCTCAAGGTCAACTCTATGTCTGTACGAAATTTCATTAAAATCAGTTCAGTGGTGTAGTTGTGAAAGCGTAACAAACAGACTGAGTAACTTTCGCATTTATAATATTAGTAGGGATATATCTTTGTAAAATCATCATCATCATCATCAGTCTATCAGAGCCCACTGCTGACCCTCTTCTCACATGGAGAAGGTTTGAGCATTAATCACCACGCTCGCTCAAGACGGGTTGGTGATTACAATCTTATAATTTGATTATAAACCCAGGTTCCTCACGATGTTTTCCTTCATCAGTTAGTGATGTCTAAATACTCTTATAAAGTACATATGACTCGGAAACATCACACTTGTACTGTCCAGGATCGAACCCGCGCCCTCATGCACGAGAGGGGGACCTTTAACCTCCAGACAACTACATCCTTTTTCTAAATAGATTTAACCAATTTCCATTTCAGTTTAGTGAGTATATTGATTTTCTTTCATTTCATTTCAGAACAAACACAACAACGGTCCAGGCTGGCCCAATTTGGACATAAAATTAAATAAAGAAGTGACTTTAATAAAATGGCCGAAAGATTCATCTGGGGATGTTGAAGTTAAATGTATGGATGGCAGCGAGTATAAAGCTGATAATGTTATAGTGACAGTGTCTATAGGAGTTTTGAAGGATAGGTAAGATTAGAAAACTATCTTTGAGGCATGAAAAGAAATTATATATATTTAATAAATGATAGTAATATTTTTCGGATGTATTATCACACTATCAGTGGTGAGCGTTTAACGTTAGATAGGGTCCCTTAAACCTACACCTGGGTCACAAGTCCCAGTCACTGTTGAGGCTCCTCTCACTACAACGATGGACCCGACACACGCACCGTGAATACATGGAATGATGAGAGGTTTTTTACTAAAATAAGGTCACGTAGTATATCCGAAAAATATTAGTTTCATTTAAATGAATAAAACTCGAAAAAATCTCACTCTTAGAATTCATTTAATCAATTCATAATATGACAAAACTTATTTGTACCTTCGCTTAGATATTAAAAAGTAGCAGTCAATGGCACTTGCAACTTTTTGTTGGTTACAATGTGTTATTTTAGTTTATAATATTAACTATGACAAATCAGTTAAGTCGCAAACCTTCTTAAATGAAGACTTAATTTAAATTTATTATTTTGGATTCCTTTTTGTATGTCTTTCTTTAAATTGTATTAGTTTAATATCGAATATTACGAGAAAGAACAAAGACATAACTGCTATTGGCATAACTAGAGACTAGTAAATTAATTATATCGAAAAAAACTTTTCAGTGAAACACTGTTTTTTAAGTCACAATACTAAAAATAGGTAATTTCTGAGTTTGCTATTCTTAATTCCAGAAAGACTTTAATGTTCCAGCCAGAACTACCTCCGGAGAAAATAAAAGCGATAAATGTTATACCCATAGGAGTCATGAACAAGATTATGTTGAAGTTCGACAAATTAGATTTACCGCGAGGAGTTTTCTATGGTTTTCTATGGAAATCTGAAGATAGAACTCGCGTGAGTGTAGAAGATCGTTGGACTACTGAAATATTTGGAGCGAGCACTCCCACGGGATCTTCAAATACTATGACGCTTTGGACCAGCGGGAATATCGGATTACTGGTGGGATATTCAGCTTATTCTATAATAGACTAGACTATTCTTCCTGACAATGACCCAGATTTAGACAGTCTGCCTTACATGTTGTAAATAGTTTTGGATAATTTTTACGACCGGCCGCCTGACATCAACCCTCTTTGGGAATGCATTAATCAGTGATGTCTAAATACTCTTATAAAGTACATATGACTCGGAACATCACTTTTGTACTTGCCAGGATTGAACCCGCGCCCTTTGAATGAGAGGCGGACCTTTTAACCACTAGGCCACCACTGACTTTTTTTGATAGACTAGACTTTTGTACCTTACTGACCAAATTATATCGAAATTGTTAATCATTTTCGTGTTTCTTACAAATATTAAGAAGCTGAGCAGTTATTTTGTTTGGTTGAACTCAAATGATCTGACGAAGTAATGTTAAGGAACAATATTCTTCACTGAATGCTATCTATCACCCATATACAAGATAATTTAGAAAAGTACACTAGACTTTTAGAGTATTAAAAATATTAAACAGTTTGTATTGTATACTAGCTGCGCCCCGCGCTGTTACCCGCGGATTTCCGGGATGTAAAGTAGCCTATGTGTTATTCCTGGACGTCAACTTCCTGTATACAAAATTTTATCAAGATCGCTTCAGCCATTTGAGCGTGAAGAAGTAACAAACATGCACACACACAAACTTTCGCAATTATAATATTAGTAGGATATTTCACTTTGTATTTTCAACTAATTATGTTGCATGCAGTGTTTGCTTTTAATTGATTTTACAAAATTTATGTCTGTTTTTAATTTTATATGTAACATTATTTAATTATTCATTTGTGTGAAAATCGCTAGCGAACCTATAAATAAATAAATAAATATTCTAGGTGGAATCAATGCCAAGTGAAGTGGTTATGAAGAAATCTATGGAACTGATAAGAAGATTCATGAGCAAGGTGTCTCATATACCGGAGCCGAGCGGTATACTCATGTCCAAGTGGTTCTCGAACCCTTTCACTAGAGGGAGCTACTCGTACGACAACCTCGTGGTTACAGACTACCCTCACGCCCGGTCAGTCTTGGAGGCGCCTCTGAGGGACGCCAGCGGAGCCCTAAAAGTCCTATTCGCAGGAGAAGCAACCCATCCTATATATTTCTCAACCGTTCATGGTGCTAGTGAAACCGGGTTAAAGACAGCTGAAAGATTATTAACAAAGTGCAAGCTGTAAATGTTATATTGGCATAAATTGTAAAAAGTTCTTCAGAAAATAGTAATTTACAGAAATGTTCCACAATCCTAATATACAGGGTGACTGGTGAATTACTATCGATATTTGAGGTCGTGATATTTGACGATCATATATGACAAAATAAAAATTAATATAACATAGCCTCTATTAATAAACTTCTAAGTAAAGTTAACCAAAAGTTATGTAATTAATTACGCATCGTATGAACACCCTACAGATTAGGTATACACACACACTCACACAGACGCGGCGGCGGCGTGGTGTTGTATCAGCACGCCGCCGCACGCGTCCACACTTGGAACACTTGGAACGTGTACACACTTTATTTATTTATACGGAAATTTGGTCAAAAATTAAGTACCTATTTTTTTTACATAATTCGAATGAGAATCATGTACCGAGTATGCTCCTTAAATATTGATAGTAATTCACCAGTCACCCTGTATATTCTTCTTTTTCCTGGCAATTTCCCAGCTTTAGCCAGTGTCTGCCGTTTTTTGTAGATAATTCCGGCTAATTGTTTTTTTACGACCGGCCGCCTGCCTGACACCAACCCACTTTTGGGAATGTTTATTGTTATACCTAATTATTTTAAATCCTAAGTCACAAACGGGTATATAGTCAAAAACAATGAAATCACTCAAAAATTGTTATAGCAAATAGAAAATATTTCTATTTTGATATTGTATATCTTTTTTATATAAATACAAAACTTCCTTTTAATACAGAAACTAAGTATGCCAAAATAAAATCCATTCAATTGACAACTATTAAAGATAGGCCCAATTTTATACAATACCAAAAATAAATGATTTTTTTTGTAATAAATTGTATTTGATTATATTTTATTTTTATTTATACCTAATGTGACCAGACATATTTTCAAAATTTGTGTTAAAAAATAAAAAAATTGGTAATTAATAAAATTTTCAATTCAAATACAAAATGATTGTTAAAGTACTGGCAGTCCAATGTAATTTCAAAAAACTCTGGTCCAATGAAAATATACAATACTTATATTGTCTACTATATAATAAAAACTTAAAAAATAATAATAATTTCAGTAACTGAAATTTTTACTTAACTTTCTTAAATCATACCTATCTGTCTTCATGAACAAGCCAAATGTTTTATGCATTCAAATAACATTTATATTATAATGTATTTTATATTGAGTTCTCCGTGTGAGAAGAGGCCTTTGCTCAGCAGTTGGCTCTGAGAGGATGATGATGAAGATGTGTATTGAGTATGTGTATGGAAATTCATTTTAAGGTTACACTTAGAGAAAATTATTACTTATAGCTCAATTTCACTAAGTTTTGTCTTTAAATTCTGCGCTAACTGCAATTTATAGCAGCTTCAGTTAGTCTAGAAGATACGATCTAAAATAATTGATAAATATTTGGACACCGAGCAAAGCTCGGTATTTAGGTATTATAAGTATTTATTTTGTATTTTGTTTTTATTTCGTTTAATCATTTTTAAGTGAATACGTTAAGTCACAAAATAATATAAATCAACAATTAATTTCTTAGTTTAACCTCATAACAAACACTCATTGACTTCCTGTTGATTAACAACGCCATCTGCTGTTGTGTTGTTAAAGCAATTAGTAAAAACAATTAGCAACTAGTATTACTATTCGTCAATAGATGTCAGGAAGAGTCATATTTTAAACTCCTTTTTATTTATTTTTTATAAAATGACATTTTCTAAAAATTATTCCTAGCTCGATCGATGAAAATCGTTGGAGCCGATTTTTTTGAGAAGAATTGCTCACTTAAAGATATAAGATAAGATAATAACTCAATTTAAGACAAATGTAAACAAGACTGCTGACTGATTAAAAAAATTCTTACATATTTCGAAAAGAATTTGAATTTCGTTAAAAAACGTAATTATTAAGAACGAGAAGTCATATATCTTTTTCATCATCTGTAAGAAACTAACTCGATTTATTTTTTAAAACTTCTTTAACATATACTGAAATTGTTTTATATATAAACTTTTTGATCGTTTAGGGGGATACTTAAACAAATGAATCACGTAATTACCTTCATAATCATTTTATTAAGTAATTTTTTTCAACTTATGCTTTCTACTAACGAAACTAAAAGAATAAAGAATACGAACATCATTCTCAACAATTTAGAATTATCGTAAAATAACGATAAGAATTATTTCAATTAACTTGTAGCAATAAAAACACTCACTCACATATTTTCAATAAAAAAAAGAGACGGCATATTAAAATCAACAATGTTTTTCATAATTATATACATATTTTTAATGGCGGGAAGATTTTTAGCACAAAATGATAATGAAAAGTCACATTTAAATGTGGTGCACATTAAAAATGTATGCTCGAACAGTATTGCCATATGCAAGAGCAACGATTCTAATATTTGTGCCACAAGGTTAACAAATAATAAATTTGAGTATTTAGATTTTGAGAATTCGTGCTTTTTATTTGTAGAGAATATGTGCAAATATTATGGTAACGGTGAGTTATTATACAATAATAATAAAATACATAGAAACTTTGTTTTTTTTTTGTATTAATATGGCAAATTATACAAGATAAGTAATTATATACATATGGAGAACCAGTTTTAAAATTGTAGAATTTAACTTTCTTTTTTTCGTTAGATTTATAAACAAACTAGGAACTGCATTAGAAAAAGTATTAGACTTTCAGTATCTTTGTTTTTTATTTAAAATACATTAAGTATTAAAAGTTATTTTAATATTATTTCCAATATTTTGTAGAATATTCCATAGTGTCAAGCGGTTACTGTTTTGAATATTTCAAGTTGAGACGACGAAAAATGGAAGAGAGCACAAAAATGACGCCTGCCATGAATAAAAATGAAGGTACAATTAATAGTTTAATAATTAAATTTGTTTAAAATAGAAAGTAATTCTAATAAAAAAAAACACAAACGTACATAGAATCTCTTTATTGCACATATTAAAAAGACTTAATATATATTTTTAAACTTCAACACTAAATCAGTAATTATTTACATTATAATGAGCTCTAAGATTTTCGTTATTCATTTAAATGAAACTAATATTTTTCGGATGTTCTACGTGACTTCATTTTTGACAATAACTACATACTCTCGACGTTTCGCTTACTTTACAGCAAACATGATCATTAAGACGGGATGTGTCGCGTAGTATATCCTCAAAATGTTACTTCCATTATTATTTACAATAGCATTTGATTTTTAAACACACTTTTCGCGTCATATTATGAAAGTCAAATTAAATTATCTTCTAATATACAGGGTGACTGGTGAATTACTATCAATATTTAAGGAGAATACTCGCTACATGATTCTCATTCGAATTATGTAAAAAAATAGGTACTTAATTTTTGACCAAATTTCCGTATAAATAAATAAAGTGTTGACACGTTCCAAGTGTTCCAAGTGTGGACGCGTGCGGCGGCGTTCTGATATAACACCACGTCGCCGCACGCGTATGTGTGTGTGTGTGTGTATACCTAATCTGTAGGGTGTTCACACGATGCGTAATTAATTACATAACTTTTGGTTAACTTTACTTAGAAGTTTATTAATATTTATGTTATATTAATTTTTATTTTGTCATATATGATCGTCAAATATCACGTCCTCAAGTATCGATAGTAATTCACCAGTCACCCTGTATATTTTATATCTGATTTTTGTTTAGACAACATTCTGCGAGATGGTAAAAGCACTTTATATGAAATTGATACTGCTTTTGATTACCATAACTGTCCGTTATCCTGCCCCGATGTGTATAGTCCTGTTTGCATAACAGTCAACAGAGGTCATGGGATGTATTACAAATTCTTCACATTCGTAAATCACTGCGAAGGAGATTTGTATTACTGTAAAAATTGGAGAGGTAAGTTCTTATTTTATTTACAGATAGTATATTTCATAAGTCAGTGGTGGCCTAGTGGTTAGAGGGCCCGCCTCGTTGCTTAGGGCGCGGGTTCGATCCTGGTCCGGGCAAGTATCAATGTGATTTTTTCGAATCATATGTACTTTCTAAGAGTATTTAGTCATCACTGATTAATGCATTCCCAAAAGAGGGTTGATGTCAGGCAGGCGACCGGTCGTAAAAACAATTAGCCAAAACTATTCACAACATGTAAGGCAGACCCTGGCTAAAGCTGGGAAATTGCCAGTTACATATTACATTATAAGTAACCTTTTTTGTAGTTTTATCAGTGTTGTCATATTATTTAATAATTTAAATGTTTTGTAACGATTATATTGAAATTTTAACAGTTTATGTTTTTGTTTAAAGATTTTTGGTATATTATATGTTATTTTGATTCCATAGAGCGTTTTTTCGTAGTTTTACGGTAATTTTTAATAATAAATGAGAGTATTTTTTCAGAATTCAGCCCTCCTCCCGACGAAGACGAATTGGTTCGCAGTTCACCTTTGAGCTGGTCGTTCTGTGCCGCTAACAGGTTGTCACACCATTTAATTTCTGAATAACATTAATACGAATCTCTTTTTATATCAAATATCAATAAAACCTATTTATTATTTGAACATGTTGTGAGACACGAAAATAAATATAACTCGTTTTCTTGAACGCATCTATAACAGATATTACAGAATTTTCATATATATCAATATTTATAGTTTTGACAGTTTGGATGAAATATAATATTAATAATTTTCCAATTTAAGATACATCCAATTTGCAAGATTCACTGAAATGACTTCTTCTATGGGGCATTACGGCTGGCTGGCTGGCGATTACAAGTAATATACCTATATACACACATACACACATACAGACACACACACACACACACACACACACACACACACACACACACACACACAAAACAGACATATACAGGGTGACTGGTGAATTACTATCGATACTTGAGGACATGATATTTGACGATCATATATGACAAAATAAAAATTAATATAACATAAATATTAATAAACTTCTAAGTAAAGTTAACCAAAAGTTATGTAATTAATTACGCATCGTGTTAACACCCTACAGATTAGGTATACACACACACACAAACACACGCGTGCGGCGGCGTGGTGTTGTATCAGCACGCCTCCGCACGCTTCCACACTTGGAACACTTGAAACGTGTCCACACTTTATTTATTTATACGGAAATTTGGTCAAAAATTAAGTACCTATTCTTTTTACATAATTCGAATGAGGATCATGTACCGAGTATTCTCCTTAAATATTGATAGTAATTCACCAGTCACCCTGTATATATATTCGTTCCACAAAATGTCTAAACTCGTTATAAGCGTCGTTACATTTTTTTTAAATAAACATATTAATACAACACGTATTTCCAATGTATATATTAGACAGCAGCCCAGTTTAAGAGATTAATTTGTAATGTAGTTTTAAATTATCTTAACAAAAATAGAATAATTTTTATTTACGTATTGTAGCTAGAAAACTCACTAAACTACATTTGGAGATCATTTTATCTCATTAAAATCAGAATTCAGTCAGATTATCATTTCTTTATTTCGTTATACCAATTTTAGAAGTTATTTATAAGTTATAACCACGTTAGTAAAATGATAAATATAATTTCTAAAATATGACATTCAACTTTATCTACATTTTAAATTAAATTTTGTTATGAATTTACGTTGTCGCCTTCCCTACTCCGTAGTCGCCTGTAATGACATGCGATAGATGAACGAAAAAAGTTGTTTATTATATAATTTTACATTTTTTCAGGCCAACGCATATCATGGAACCCCATGAACGAATGAAGGGTTATGGCTGAAGTATTCGATCCGTCAATATTATTTGTATATACAAATATTAAATATATTACAATAAAATTTTTACTTATAAAATTATCTTTTTTCTATAATATACAAAACTATTTCACTTTGAGGTGTAACATATCTTAGAATCTTGTTATTATTGTTAAATATTAAGAATTTTTTCAATTTTAGGTAATTCTAATCCTAAGTTTTAACAAAAATATAAAACAATGATTATTATATATAGTTCTTACACCGGAATCTAACGCGGAGATACAAATGTGTCAATTTGACAATTTTGAAATAAACTTGTTTACATTTATTTACAAATTGTGAGAAAACTCCAATAACTCAAAAAGATAATAGAATATTTATATATAAATTATAATAATGAACCTTATTTTGATTTATTAAAAACATTAAATAAATTAGTGAACACAAATTTTTGTCGACTTATACTTAGAAAGTTTTCTTATGATACTTGCTTCCTACACTAAAAATACTATGAAAGAAACGAGACTTTTTTAAGTGAAACTATTGTTTTTATTTCAGTAAGTAAATAATTTTTCTCTAATATTCTTAAGAATTGAATGAAAAAATATTGGAAGTTCAACTATAATCCTTTGATTTACATATTAAAAAATTTAAGCTTTTTATTGTTATATATGTAAAATACTATTTTTAACTTTATAGGTAGTCATGGAGGAAATTAATCCGTTATTTCTGGATCCCGATTGTATGGTTTCATTGAAACGGATAACAAATGAATCGCAAGAGAATGATAATGGGGTTGAGAGTCAGTCGAAGTAAGTTTTAAATTGTTACAATTTGATTTGGTATATTATGTTTAATATATCTTAGTCATCTCTATATATATTTGTAACATTTTGTTGGTAATTATCAATATTATTATTAACTATAATAGTTTCATTTTATGTACATTAATTTATTGTAAGAAAATTTTTCACATATATGTAAGAATTAATACATCTTATATGTAGAAGCTGTTTAAATAGCTTAACTAGGATAAGTTTATAAAATAAAATAAATACATTGAATTTAAATTTTTATTACTTACTATAAATATTTTTATAAACATTTGTAGTAAGGTTACTCTAGAGTCTAGAGTAACAATTGCATTAGATGTTTCACAAATAGTATTTATATATATATATTTAATATTTTAAGCATGTAACTCATATCAAATAATTTTTACAGTGAATCCTCCATGTATAATATTTTAAGTATATAATTCATACATATCGTTACAGTGAATGTACCAACCAAACTCAATTGGAGACCAACGAGAAATCAAAAAAGGAACGTATAAAATGTCCGGAATGCAATCGTTACACGGCTGAAAATAACGAACAACTAACACGGCATATTCGCAAGCAACATAGAGGTGAAAATCCATACCAATGTTATATGTGCGACTACAGTACATACAACAGTGTAGTATTCGAAGAACATATAAGAATACACAAAGGAATTAAGCCGTTCACATGCAAATACTGCCCGCACAGCAGTGCTTCCAAGAGAAACTTGCAAAAGCATGAACTAATACATCGTCCGGATAATCCATTGAAATGCAACAAATGTAAATACATAGCAAGACACCAGAAAGGACTTGACTGGCATTTGAGAAAGTTCCACGATAAGAACGATGACGATAAATGCCAATACTGCAATAAATTGTTCACAAGTGCCAGCGGTCTGGCCAAACATTTGTCGGTGATGAAGAAGTGTGAAGAATGTGATTATTTAAGCTGTTCCAAGCATTTGATAGATTTACACGGTGTTAAACAGCATGGATGGCTTAAAAATGATAAGGGAAAGAAACCGAATAGCTTTGAGTGTGCTGAATGTTCTTGGTCATCGAGTAGCAAGCTAAAAATTATGCTGCATTTAGTACATCATCCTAATCAAACAGTTAATGAGAGTTTTCTAGATGTTTCCATATTAAGGAAGTATGGTATTATGAAATAGTTGATTGAATAATAAATAATGTGTTGCTTGAGTTTTATTTTAGTTAGATATGACAAATATATAAAGAATTATTAATTAATCCCTACTAATATTATAAATGCGAAAGTAACTCTGTCTGTCTGTCTGTTACGCTTTCACGCCTGAACCACTGAACTGATTTTAATGAAATTATGTACAGAGATGGAGTTGACCTTGAGAAAGAACAGGATAGTTTTTATCCTAGACTTTTGAAAAGTTCTCTTAGAAACACGATATAACCGAACTCCACGCGGGCGAAGCTGCGTGCGGAAAGCTAGTTAAATATAAAGTTAAATAAAGTAATTATTTATGCTATACTTAGCATGAATTCACTGGAATCGTATAATATTTTGTCAATGTCAATATTTTTATTTGTTGGACGAATCATAATCTTGAGTACTGTGTGGAAACACGAAGGAGTTTGTAGAATGGAATAAAGACGTTTATTTAATTATTTTTTTAAAGAAAAGGTGATAGTTATATATTTTAACTAGTTATATAACAAAAAGCTAGAGTCAAAAATATGTTACAATATAGCATTTATAATAGGTAATTAATGTCAAAATATTTGTCATTGACTTTGACTGATAAATTAAGTGAACAAAACGTATCAAAACAGTAGATTAATTCGTAAAATTTACATATAAAAATATATGTATTTCTAATACCTTCAATAAAGTATCTTCACGACTATGCGGATATGAAATTTATTTTACACAAACGTTACGGGTATGTACTGTAATTTAAAATAGTATTTAAATTGAACAATTTAAAATACTGTAATTTAAAAGGTAGAAAAAAATATTTGATGAATTTCTCTATATATTTGTATAAATTTATTTTAATTTTCACCAATAATATTTGTCATAAAGCCGTTGTAGTATCCTGCTTTTGTAACCATTCTTTCTTTTTAAAAGTATTCTTATTATAAACATTTCAATACAGGGCATTATGTCCGATTCGTTCTTTAAAAATTTATGGAATTTAGAAAGGTACAAAAGAAAGAAAATTTCAATACACAGATAATAAATAAAAATAATTAGGTTATTTATATTTCATCATTTTATAACATTTACAAGGACGTTTTCATTATTTTAAACTGGATATAGAAATTTAACAGATTTTAAATAATCAATAATTTCAACACGGTATTTTATTTCTTTTCATTGGTGTTTAAGACAACAGTCTCATAGCTTCCCTGTATCCCGAGTCACTAGCTCCGTGGACAGTTGAGAAATGAGTTAAGTCAGTGGCCTCCCCGGCGAATAACACGCGTGGGACTCCCTTCGAGTCCGTCAGAGGAGCCCCGAGGTCGGCCCTGGCGCTCGGGTGCTCCGCCATCAACAGATTGTCGTAGGAGTAACAGCCGCGTGTGAATGGATTAGAGAACCACGTGCTTCTTAACACGCCCGTCGGTTCTGGGATCGACATGTTCTTTCCCATGAACATACGAACTACCTCCATACTCTTAGCTTTTACAACGTCCTCTGGTAATGTTTCGACCTAGAGAAAGAAATTATTGTAAGATTTTGAAAATTGGGTTAAGTTTTTTCATAAGCGTGGCGACTCTTGAATTTCTGCAAGACCAAGTGTACATATTGATGCAAGACCAAGACCGCCCAAATCCCATCTAGTTCTTGCGTTTGCTCAACACACATGGCGACATGCACAGCACCTATCTACCTTTTGTATTTAAGAACTATTTATATAGGATTTAAACATTAATTTATTTAAAATGGTGCTTAATTAAACGTCTTATTATTTCAGAGAAACATTTTATACATAATCTTTGTTATTATATGGACCGGATGTGCACATTTGGACACAAAAAGAAAAACTCGTTTTTCTAGAAAAGTGGAGAACCAAGATGTTGGTTATTTATTTTTTCCTTACTACCAGTTGTCTAGTCTCCCTCCAGGATTTTACTTAAATCGCTATGAGAAGAAATAATAATTCAGGTTTAAAAGGGATATATAGACGAGCTCTATCAAGCATTTTTTTGCAAGAATCTTGGCTAATTGCTCAAATATACTTTAGCAAATACTTACCAACTTGGTCCAATCTCCGATAGTCCAAATCTTCAAAGTATTATCAGAACCCTTAATAGCGCTAATGTCTTTTAATTCAACCTGCCATTTATCAAATTTCTCTTTATCAGGTTTCAGCCACTGGAATATATAAGCTGCCTTTTCTGGCCACCAGCGCTCGGCAAATGATAGTATTATTTTGCCCACGACTCCTATTGGTATTGTCTCAATAGCTGTTACCTTTTCATTTGGTAAAGCTGGCGAGAATAATGTTTGATGTCTGAAAATTAATTATTAGAAGTTTAATATCTATTTAGTGGAAGGACTTTCAAACAAATTATTACAACCCACCTCTCCTTCAAGACTCCGAGTGAGACGGTCACTATAACATTATCAGCGGTGAAGACACTTCCATCAACACAGCTCACCTCAACGTTTCCGGGTGAATCCCTCGGCCACTTTATTAATTTCACTTCTTTGTTCAACTTTATGTCCAACGTGGGCCAGCCTGGGCCATTTTTGTAAGTGTTCTGAACAAGAAATATTAAAAGTTTAAAACTAAATCAATTATAATAGAGAAACCGAAATAAATATAAGTAAATATCCACGATTTATCTACTTTTCGCTTCAACAGAAACTATTATATTAAAATCAATTAGAATTGTATGAAAATTTGGATGGAAAATAGTTTATTACATAAAATACACATAGTTTTTTAGATTTTCACATCAATCAACTATTTTAAGTCTCATCTCAATTTTGTTTTAGCTATGTATACTTTTGAGACGTAGCTAAATAATTTAAATAATCCTGCCCATACCGTCTGCTCATTCAAAGTATAAAGTAAATAAAATAGTTATTAAATAACCAGCCTGTAATAAAATAACCTACCAGTAATAACTCGAAGAAGGTCTTGTACCCATGCCTGTGCCAACTCATTTCCTGGCTGCCTCCTAATAACTCGTAGTTGCTGTTGGAGGTAGCATCATTCCAGTCATTGGAACCCTCATGTCTGTCCACAACCTTATTCACAATATCCAGGAATTCCTCCATAAAATCCTGGTCATTCCGAAGCTCTGGATACTTTTTTTCCATGTATGGTAATAATCTGGAATTATAATCTATAAATTTGTGATACTAACTTTGTATTTTTACCTCATTGACTTTACCACGAGTGTCAAACTACAAGTCACTGGTTTCGTACTTATAAACATACTAGCTTTCCGCCCGCAGCTTCGCCCGCGTAGAGTTCGGTTATATCGCGTTGCCAAGAGAACCTTTCAAAGGTCGAGAATAAAAACTATCCTATGTTCTTTCTCAAGGTCAATTCTATCTTTGTACCAAATTTCATTAAAATCAGTTCAGTGGTTTAGGCGCGAAAGCGTAACAGACAGAGTTACTTTCGCATTTATAATATTAGTAGGGGAGTTGCTACTATCATGTGCGATGTTTTAGTAATGAAAAAACCGCAAAATATCCGTATATAATTCGATAGTGACTTGTGGTAGTTATAAAAGTTTATTGTGAATAGATAATTATAGAAATAGGAGGTTTAAAATCTGAGGAATGACTTATATTTACCTTAAATTGTAATGATAGCGTAAACAATCAAGTTAATGATTTCATAAAAATACTTCAAACATCTTATTAATTCTATCATATAACAATCCAGATTATATTTAGGTCTTTTTTATTTATTTTTTCTGGGTTTGGTTGTAATATTTCGGTCAAATATTGTTCTGACCATTGGTTCTGAACTGTTGAAGGCTAAAGGCTAGTCGATGTTTTAATTTCCCTTTCATCATCAATTGCTAACACTAAATGATTTTAAAACAAATCAAAATCATGAAATACCACAAGTTTTTAAATAAATAGTAAGAGCAACTACATAAACGAGAAACCAGGAGCTATTTAATTTGAAGATGGACATCATTGTAAGGTATAGTGCGTTTGATTTAAGCTGAGCTTTGTATTTGTGTGAGTGTACACGGATAGTGTAGGTGTGATGTCAAAGTGCGTGCCACTTGCTTTTCTAGTTTTGAACCGGTTTATACTGATTTTACTCCGCCCCGTATCTTCCGCACTTACACCTATGCACAGATAGCAGCGTATTTATCTATTTAAAATAATATTTAATTCAATTTTTTTTGTCTGACACTACTTTTACTCGCCCTCAAATGCAAAGCTCAGCTCAAGTCTCGCAGTATATTATTGTAGACATACTTCTTGCTGATATATTTTCCCAACGGCTCAGCCTCGCCCGAAGGTTCGTCCATGGCATCCAAACAGAATGTTATCAGGTCATTGAAGACCTCAGCGTTTCCCAAAAAACCATCAGATCTAAAAACTCTCACATCAAACTCCTGGCGTTGGATCGTTATATTATTATTGACAGCTGTTTCGTAGACTCGGCTCTTCTCTATACCGTGAATCCTGGTATAAGATAATTATAATAGTAGAAGAACATTATTTAATAATTCGTATCCATAAATTAACAAATTTAAATTAAATTTATAATATATGTAATTTGGATTACTCTTTATTAAAGCTAAAATTAGTGAAAGTCCCATTAAAACCTGTAACGTCATTTCGCAGACTGAATTCACTTACAAATAAATAAATAAATTAATAAGTAAATATCATAAAATTTATACAATGTATACATATATGTATTTAATATAAAGCTGATATCTAAGACTTTCGTAAATATTCATTTAAATGAAACGAATATTTTCGTATACTACTCGTGTTTTATTATTTTAACTACATACGACGACGTTTCGGTTACTTTACAACCGTGATCATTAAGACGAGATTTAAAACAAAGTTGTTATTATATCACAAAAAGATAGAAAAATTATATTTACTTCTATGTATATTTTACATTTACTTTAATTTTTTTAGTATCAAAGTGCTGATTTGCGGAATGTATTCCAGATTCTTTTAAAAATAAGATGTTAGCTCTTGTTAGTGATTTAAATATTTTAACTACAGTACAAACTCTATTAACCGGAATAATTGTTGTCGATAGGCATTCGGATAATCGAATGTATGTAGAAAAGCCGATTATGTGAATATTTAGTTCAAAATATTATATGTTTATATAAAAAATAAATTGCAATATGTATTTGGTAATCATCAATTATAATAATAAGTTTCATTTGGTTTAGAATATTTGTTAATTGTCATTTGACGTCCGCCACTCTCAACAACACCACTCTCTTAGACTCTTACGCTTTGACATTCTTTCTTGTCCGGACTTGTCCGTAGTCCGGATAATCGAGTTTCTACTCTATTATCACCAGACAGTGGTACCATCTAGTTTTATGTAAGTACATTAATTTAAAGCTATAAACAAATATACATACCATTCAGCTCCTAGTTCCACTACTCCATCCCCGAACTCCACCGTGTGAACTCTTCCCCCGACCCTGTCCTCCGCCTCTAACGCTAACACTCTCTTGCCAGACTTAGCCAGTGTTGAAGCTGCTGTAGCTCCGGCAGAACCGAGACCGACAACTATAGTGTCATATTTCTGGTTTACTCTGAAAAAATTAACATATTATCATCTTAAATTAACGGAAAAAGACTTTTAAATGAATTGTATAAGTCATATGTTATATTATGAAGTTTGTCTTGGAAATATCCTCTCTTCTTTCGTCTTCTCTTCTTTTTCTCTCATAGAACAGATCCTTATCTATTTAATTGTATTTATATCATCACTCACACGAGGCCGTTAACATGATGTAGCGTCAGCAGAGATAGGAACAGAACGAATCGCTTCTCCATCATGTTTAGATGTAATCAATTATTATTATTATGCATTTATATATCTGAGACATTCGTAAGAGCTATATATTTCATGTACAACTAATTTAAAACCGCAGTTTTGTTTGGGATAACAAATATTTCGTCCAGAAAGATCGTCTCTATTCTTAGGATAAGAGCTGATTTTTCAAATATATTAACCTAAATTAATTTATTCATATTTATTTATCGTCAATCTTCATCAGATATATCATATTCGTTGCCAACTCTTAGTCTATAATATATAAACATAACAAATCAAAGGTTATTGCAAACATAATCAAGGAATCAATGTTTATTGACGATTATTGTTATATATTTTATTGCTAGATTAACATACACTGACGTACAAACAGGAAATAACGTTGCACATACACAAAAAGTATTAGAATATTTGGAAAAGAGTGACAGTTAACTTTATCTTCTTCTTCTTCCTAGCAATTTCCCAGCTTTAGCCAGGGTCTGCCTTACATGTTGTTGTGAATAGTGTGAATTTGTTTTTACGACCGGCCGCCTGCCTGACATCAACCCTCTTTGGGAATTCATTAATCAGTGATGTCTAAATACTCTTATAAAGTACATATGACTCGGAAAAATCACATTGGTACTTGCCCTGGCCAGGATCGAACCCGCGCCCTCGTGCATGAGAGGCGGGCCTTTTAACCACTAGGCCAGCACCGACTTTATATTTAAGATATTATTTATGTTAAAGGTGGCTAACAAGCAGACGGCCTACTTGGTGAGCATTAGCTACCGTCGCCCGTGGATATCAGCAACATCTTTGTTTTGAATGATTTGACAAACTTGGTTTTTTTAGGAATAGGGAAGGGTGGGAATAGGGAAATAGCAGGAAAGGGAGGGAATAGGGAAAAGGCAACCGTCTCTCTCACTCATCATACGAAACGCAGCCATTAAAGACTATTTCACGCCGATCTTCTATGAGAGGGTGGTACTTCCCCGGTTGAGCCTGTCCATATTCTTTCGTAGTTTCATGACTACAGTTAGGCTCTACCGCCTAAAGAATAACAATACTTCAAACTTATAATTTCAAAATTAATTCAAACTTATAATATAAGGAGGTTATCATATTTTATTTCTGTCATCATCTTCTTTTTATCTGTAGATCCTCATACAGTATTCATGAATCATAACAGACCACAAACACCATTAGACTGGGTAGATGATAAGTTATTAGCTGAAGGTGGAAATGGCGACCTAAACTCAAAAATAAGAAGATCTAATATTTTTTCGAGTATTCACTTAAATAAAATTAATATTTGGTTAGGTAGAGAGGAGCTTCGACGGTGGAGGTGATCGTTTAGCACGCTTTAGATAGGGTCCCTTAAACCTACACCACAAGTCACAGTCACTGTTGAAGCTCCTCTCACTACAACGATGGACCCGACACACGCACCGTGAATACTTGAATGCCAAGAGGTTTCGTCTCGGATTACTACGCGTATTTTATTGTATTAAAACTGTAAGTTAATGAGTGAGTGAGTCTCACATCTCGTCTGCCCGTGATCACGGTCAATGTAAAGTAGCCGAAACGTCGGGAGTATGTATTTTATAATCAAAAATAAAAACGCGAAGTAAAATCCGAATATATTAGTTTCATTCAAAGGTCATGTTAAATTTAAAGAATGTCGTTATAGTTATGTAACAAAATTTAAACTTTTGTGTCACGAAGTATACAAAAAATATTTGGTTTGGACTTATTATACATGTGTAAATAGAGAAATGTACTAAAAGAGTAGTATAATAGTTATAAGAAGTATGTAGGTATGTTTATTTATTTTTCCTTATCTAACACAGCGACGGTCTTGAGATGACCTCTCAAATGTTTTTCAAACAAAACAGACTTATACAATAACTGTTTGTAAACAATAATTTTATGTAATACTAGTTCTATCTCGCGTCTCCGTCCTCGTGAACATCAGAGTTTTGTTCAGAGCTATGTATAAAGTGTGATAAGGCAATGAGGCAGTGTAACCTTTTAACCTTCTATGCACAATTGTTGCGATGCATTCGACTCTTAACGATGAGAGAAGATTACCGCCTACTATCTGACGATGTAGGAAGACTTGTTGATAGCATAGCGTTGTTCCTCTATGACAAAAAATCTAACGGTCAGAAGGTATCGCAGCTATTGTGCTAAAGACGCGTGCTCCTGAATTGACTTCGATTCTTCTTCTACCTGGCAATTTTCCAGATTTAGCCAGGGTCTGCCTTTCATGTTGTGAATAGTTTTGGCTAATTGTTTTTACGATCGGCCGCCTGCCTGACATCAGCCCTCTTTGGGAATGCATTATTCAGTGAAGTCTAAAGACTTTTAGAAAGTACATATGACTCGGAAAAATCACGTTGGTACTTGCCAGGATCGAACCCGCTCCCTCGTGCATGAGAGATGGGCCTTTTAACAACTGACTTGACTTCGATTCTAACGCGCCAATTTATACTATTGAACATGAAATAGTCTATTATTTCTGACGTAGTAACAATCAATAAGTATTTTTATTCAAATAGTTTGAAATAAACACAAATTATTATGTTTTAAATTTATTTTAATTACATTTTTTTCATACATATTTATTTATTCTCATCAGGCAATAATCGCATCGCTTCCCTGTATCCCGATTTACTAGCTCCGTGTACAGTTGAATATTGTGTTGGATGTGTAGCTTCACCCGCGAATAACACGCGTGGGACTCCCTTGGAGTCCGTCAGAGGAGCCCCGAGGTCGGCCCTAGCGCTCGGGTGCTCCGCCATCAACAGATTGTCGTAGGAGTAACAGCCGCGTGTGAATGGATTAGAGAACCACGTGCTTCTTAACACGCCCGTCGGTTCTGGGATCGACATGTTCTTTCCCATGAACATACGAACTACCTCCATACTCTTAGCTTTTAGAACTTCCTCTGGTAATGTTTCAATCTGGAATTAGAAGGAAAATTATTTACCTCGGCAGTTTTTTTGGCGGTCATGGACGGAACACAAAGATTCAATTAAGAAATTTAGTTCTTATAAAAAATCTATTGGAGATATCAGTTTTGGAAATAATATCAATAATATATGCACATTTATAAAATTTTCTACTATGGATCTTTGGTGGTTAAAAATGCTTTTTCAATACAGTCGTATAATCTACACAATATGTTACAGTTAAGGACACCAACTGGAAATAATACTTACAGTTTTAGCAGCGTCTCCGGCTGTCCAAAACGTCAAAGCGTTATTGGATCCCATCGGTGCTGACAGTGATTTCAGCCCCACCTGCCACTTCTCATATCTCTCTTTGTCAGACTCCAACCATTGGAAAATATAAATCGGTTTTTCAGTCCACCACTTCTCATTAAACGAGAGTATTAGTTTTCCTATAACTCCAATGCTCATCATGTTTATTGCTCTTATTTTATCCTCTGGCAGCGGCGGCGAGAATAGTTCTTGATGCCTGAAAATTATTGCATGACGTCTTTTTACTGCGCATACTATTTCATATGTAACTTGGTATAATGGAAAAAGCCTAAAACACTTGCGATTGGTCAAAACAAATAGATATTAAATAATTGACGAGTTGTTTATGTTCAAATAAAAAACTATATATATAAATGATTATTGCCAAATGTTTTTTAGGAATTCAAAGACTTAAATAACACGAGATATTCCTACCTCTCCTTCAAGACTCCGAGTGAGACCGTCACTATAACATTATCAGCGGTGTAGACACTTCCATCAACACAGCTCACCTCAACGTCTCCGGGTGAATCTCTCGGCCACTTTATTAATTTCACTTCTTTGTTCAATTCGATGTCCAACGTGGGCCAGCCTGGGCCATTCCTATATTTTTTCTGTAATGAAAAGTTGAAGTTAAATTAGTCAGGATAGTTTTAAAGGCAGTGGTGGCTTAGTGGTTACATGGCCCGCCTCTCATGTACGAGGGCGCGGATTCGATCCTGGCTCGGGCAAGTACCAATGTGATTTTTCCGAATCATACATATGTACTTTCTAAGATTATTTAGACATCACTGATTAATGCCGATTCCCAAAAGAGATTTGATGTCAGGCAGGCGGCCAGTCGTAAAAACTATTCACAACTATATGTAAGGCAGATCCTGGCTAAAGCTGGGAAATTGCCAGGTAGAAGTTTTAAAGTATGGTATCAAATATTTTTTTTCTCATTAAGTACATTATTTCTTACATGTTGAATATAGTCTATGAGTACACAAAAACAGACTTCACAATATGGACTACAAAAAGTTTAATGATAATCCAATCCACAGTGATTATTATCAAGAAAGGAAAATATTTATTGGAAATTTACTTAATTCATCCACACCAACCAGTAAAATGTCCAAGAACGTCTGATATCCATGCCTATGCCAGCTCATGTCGTGACTGCCTCCTAGTGGCACGTACTTTCTGTTGGAAGATGCGTCGTTCCAGTTGCTCGAACCTTCGTATCCATCAACAAGAACATCAGCTATTTCAAGAAGCTCCTTCATGAACTCCGTGTCGTTCAAAAAATGGGGATACTTCTGTTCTAGATACGCCGTTAACCTGTTTTAAGAAATTAATGAAATAAAACGCCTGTTGTTTCCTAAGAGCAAAAATTTCTCTGGGTAACCTTAGCTATGACTTATTGCAAGGCGATCTTGACGTACTTATTATGAGCTTAAGTTAATTTTGTTTTATGAGAAACAAATTAAAGGGAAAAAAAGTAGTGAAATGAACATGTGGGCGCAACAAAACAATTGCATACTGACTTCTTTGTTATATATTGTCCAAGAGGTTCAGGTTTCTCAGGAGAAGTGTCCTTCATTTGAAGACAGAACATTATCAATTCAACCACAACATTGTCTCCTAAAGTGCCATCAGATTTATAAACAGATCCTTTATACTCCTGCTTTAATAAAGTTATGTTGTTTTCGACCGCTGCTTCGTACACTGGACTGTAGTATATCCCACGAATCCTATAGATACCATAATTATAAATTAATTTATGTCAGTTCCTTTTGATACATCTTTTTAGGCTAATATTGATATAATAATATTGTATCTAATATCCAATTGTATATCAACGTTACTTGCCCTATTTCCTTTGACTTGTCCAGTCTTTGTCTGCTATTCCCTTCCATACTAGTTCTCGCTTTCTCTAGGGCCGTTCATTCCTCATTCTACGTCTTTTTTTATTCCTCACTTCCATTCCTGGGTATTCCCATTAAATGTTTTAGTGTATGCTACTATCTTATTTCTATTTTTTGATATTTTATTTTTATTTTGTATATCAAGGCTAGTACATACCATTCAGCTCCTAGTTCCACTACTCCATCTCCGAACTCCACCGTGTGAACTCTTCCCCCGACCCTGTCCTGGGCCTCCAACGCTAACACTCTCTTGCCAGACTTAGCTAGTGTTGAAGCTGCTGTAGCTCCGGCAGCACCCAGACCGACAACTATAGTGTCATATCGCTCGTTAATTCTGAAACAATTTACATAATGTCTTCTTAAAATATAAACTATTACATTCAGTCAAATCCGCTTAACGACAAAGGATTGTTTCTTACCAAATTTGAATCGTCTAATTTTATATAGGGATTATTCTGATGGTCATTCATAAATCTTTACACTTATCGTATATGACTGATTTAAATGATATAAATTTTCATAAAAGACTTCTGATAATCCTAAAAATTTCGTCAAACAGACCTCTTTAGGTTATCCACTGAAACTTAGACATAAATTACAGCTATAGTTATAATCTTAACAGGACCATAACAAGAACAAATCATTTGATGGTCTTTTAACGTTTTTTTTTAATTAAATGGGGGCAACCGAGCAGACGGCCTTTCTGATAGACGTAGTATGGACTTCCGCTACATAGTTTAGAGGATGTGGTGCCAACCTTGGTTAGGAAAGATTGAGAGGAAGGGATAGGAAAGGGTGGAAAAACGGAAAGGACATAATGAGTCGTTAAGTTTTCATCCTGGGACGTAAATATTTTGACAGACAATAATATTTTCGAAGTTTCATAAGTAAATGCCTCTTTTAGACTTAACAAACAGAGTTTCGTGTAACTGGGTCTAGATAATAAAGTCAAGAGATCATGAGTTAAGTCCAGTTATTGCTTAGTTTGTCTCTAATTGACAAAAATATTCAGGAACTGCATATGATAAAATAAAATAAGAGAAATTTAGTTAACCATATATTAATAACCTATTACGGCCAGAGTTCGTGTAACCAAAAAATTAAAACTTAATTACAATTCTTTTTAAAAACTTTAGGTTGTGTTGAAGGTAATTTTGCAGAAAAAATATAAACATTAAATTTGAGTATTTTAATACTGGCGAAAGGACAAAGTGAGCAGATATTTCTAAAGCTAACTTGTTACAACGAGAAAAAGTAGTCTTAATTCATTAACAGGAAAAATATTGAAGAAGTCTACAATTTTATAAGACAAGTTCTATCTACGTTTTATGAAAAATATCTACCATAGAGGTGTACACAAACAACAGTAGTTTCTGAAGATCAGAATTAACTAAGTTAATATAAGATATAATGGAGTTATTACAAAAAATACCCTTATTTATAAGTGGTAATAAGTAGCAATCATTATGATTTTATTAATAAACTTTAGTATGGAATCTCGATGTTTGTAAGAAGAAGAGACTCGATAATTTTTGATACAAAGTCCATAAAAAGCAAGCTATACCTCTAATACTAAGATTATTAATTTAAACAGATTAATATTGGATTTATGTAGAAAGATATTATCGGGTTTAGCTTTTGAAATTCGCTACATATATATCTAGCTAATGAGATGGTTGAATGTATATTTTTTAATCCAAATTATATATATTTGGATGTAATAATAAACACAGACAAACATACTATCTATACATATAATAAAATTGTAGAAAAGTGCTGTCTGTACATTGAAAATAAAAATAAAAAAATAGCAGGGGTTATGGTTATGTCGATGTCGAACCCAAAAATGTAATTAACTTTTTTTTGTCTGTTTGTCTGTTCAGACTAATCTCAGAAACGGCTGATCCGAGTTGGATGCGGTTTTCACGAATATATTGTGGTATGCTTCAGTTATGTTTTAGTGTTTGTTTCATGTTAATCGGTTCATAAATAAAAAAGTTATGTCAAATTAAAGAATCACGTCGAACACTATTCTATGCTTATACATACAAACTATGAATTTATACATACAATCTATTCATAATAAAAATAAGTATATATTTAAAAAAAACGCTGCTCATAGTCACTATTCCACGCGAACGAAGTCGCGGGCACAGCTAGTATCTAATATATATATAATAATTGTACTCACACATGACAATTCGCTTGAAGACCAAGCAAAGCCAGTAGAACTAACACCGTCTCCATTGATGGATCAAATAACTATGGAGTAAAGATAACTTGCATATATTATTATATTAGAACGTGCGTTGATAACTAGGTGATACACTCGTCTTTGTTTACATTTTTTCATATAATTACAGTTTTAATATGTATAAAAATACTATAGAATATTCCTAAGTCATCGTCAATATTTATATTTAAATATTTTTTTGTAATGACCGATTGTATAAAAATAAAATATAAATGTTTTATTATTATCAATCAATCACTGTTGTTTTAAACACACGTAAGTTGTATTTAAATTCTATCCAAGAGGGAATTTGGAGATATATGTGGGATTCTCCGTAATAGACCCTGACCTACCCACTAAACCTCAACAATCATCCTCATTGCTTTAGTATAACGCCACGAGTTCGCTAGAACATTCGACCGTGATGCTCTTGCAAATATCGAAAACCTAAATAAGGGTGCTTGAGTACTAGTTACACCCTTACGATACCGGCATGCGTGGGGTGAAAGGGTGCTATATACATAGATACTAAGTGAGGTAATATTCCCGACTTCGTTTGAAGATCGGACGAATTGCATTCATGCTAAAAAGATTAGCTGCAGACTGGCTAATAGCAATATTTTTCGTCAATCACAGAATTCAAAGGTCGCGTTAAATTTAAAGAATGTCATTATAATTGTTAAAATAAAATTTAAACTTGTGTAAAATTTATTCCAAAAAAATTAAATATGGTTTTAACTTAATAAATAGATACATTCATTATAAGAGTAGTATAATAGTTATAAGAAGTATGTATGTTAATTTATTTTTCCTTATCTAACACAGCGACGGTCTTAAGATGACCTTTCAAATGTTTTTCAAACAAAACAGATTTATAGAATAGCTGTTTGTAAACAATAATTTTATATAATACTAGTTTTATCTCTCGACTCCGTCCTCGTGAATACTAGAATGTCACTCAGAGCTATGTATAAAGTGTGTTAAAACAATACATACAGTGACGTACGTCGCGGGCTTTACATTTATATAACACACACAGACAACAATACCTTCCGGGTGAGGAGTGAATATAAACTATCTGGGGCGCCACACAAATTTATACACAAATATTCACTCAAATTGGTTCATTCGTTTCGGTTTAGGAGTTGTTCAGTGTTCAGTTCAGGACAAAAACTTTTATAAGAAATTAATAAACAAAACTCCTCTTGAATCTTAAGAGCAAAAATTCTTTAGAAAACATTTGCTATGACTTATTACAAGGCGATCTTGACGTTACTTATTTAATATGAGATGAAACTTCTCAGCATTTCATGGATTCACAATTAACAGTACCGTTGACTTGTGACCCAGGTGTAGGTTTAAGGGGCCCCTATCTAACACGTTAAACGCTCACCTCCACCGTCCAAGCTCCTCTCTCTACCTAACAGGATTTTGAAACGAACTTACTAGAATTGCCATTGAAGTACGTTCTAAAAATGAGTTGATATTAGTTCTGGACAAGCCCGAGTCTTCTAGTAGGTTGTAGAGAGATTTTGTTATACCTCTCGCTCCCACTTCTATCTCATACAAGTTTACGATACCTTTTCCCAGTATGTTTGTTAGTGAGCTCGTAATACTCCTAATACTACTTTAAAATTCGCGAATACAGAAGTATGACTAATATGGACTCCGACAACCGAATAATCTGTGGGATTTTGTATTGTTTCTCATACGTATCCATCATTATAGTCCAATCCGAAGACGCTTTAAGGATAGACTTTTGACGTTTGATTTTATAGCCCTAGTGCTTTCTTCCAAAAAAGCTGTTTGCTATTATTTTTTTAGGCTCAGACTCTTTGGATATGATTTCTAGAACACTATCGTGACGCCGCGAGTATTGACCGCTGTCCAGGAGTACCTTACATGCCACCAGCAGATGCTTAGCAGTTCTGACTAAATTCCCACAGATATAGCAAGTTTATTCGGTAACTTAACCCCATCTTACTAAATTACTTTGACTTGGGTGAGTCAATATATCCGTATCTTGGGATTCCTGACTCGAACCCTACTCTGTTACTTTGTGCTCCTATCATAAACTGCCTATCAATTTGAAATCTTGATTGAAATATGATAATATGTGTAAATTTTTATATGTATAATATAACATTTTATGTCATGCAGCGTTCGGTGAATCTGATTTTAGGGTGAAATTAAAGTAGGTAATGATTATTTTTAGTTATATAGTCGCAATAGTTATTTAATCAACTTACTCATTGAGCACGTGTTCGTGTTTAGCCAGGAAGTACATCATCAAATTAACCTCTCCTGTTTCTCATCCAACAGGAAACTCCTCGTACGTCACCCTATAATCTGTTAAATCAATAAATTGAATAAGAGAATGAGAAATTATTAGATTTCTGACGTCAAAACTATTTAAATAATACAATACTTATCAATAAGGGTCTAGTTAACAGATCATAAATAAACATAATACTTTATTTTTTGATTTCTATACACTCAGTCATCATATTATATCTGATAAATATATAATTATTAGCATTGAGGAATACGGATGCCTTAAAGAATAAAATTTGTAATTAATAAATATTCAATGTGTATCTTTATACATATTAAAACTGAATTATATTTAAAAGAAATGTAAGCAAAGTCGCGTATATCACCTAGTTATCAACGCACGTTCTAATATAATAATATGTTCAAGTTATCTTCACTCCATAGTTATTTGATCAATCAATGGCGCCGGTGTTAGTTCTACTGGCTTTGCTTGGTCTCCAAGCGAATTGTAATGTGTGAGTACAATTATTATATATATTAGATATAGTATGTTTATCTGTGTTTATTATTACATCCAAATATATATAATTTGGATTAAAAAATATACATTCAAGCATCTCATTAGCTACACATATATATATATATATATATATATATATATATATATATATATATATATATATATATATATATATACAGGGTGACTGGTGAATTACTATCGATATTTGAGGACGTGATATTTGACGATCATATATGACAAAATAAAAATTAATATAACATAAATATAACTTAACTTCTAAGTAAAGTTACTACTACTTTCTACTTAAATCCAATATTAATCAGTTTAAATTAATAATTTCAGTATCAGAGGTGTATCTCGATTTTTATGGACTTTGTATCAAAAATTATCGAGTCTCTTCTTCTTACAAACATCGAGACGCCATACTAAAGTTTATTAATAAAATTTTAATGTTTGCTACTTATTACTACTTATAAATAAGGGTATTTTTTGGATAACTCCATTATATCTTATATTAACTTAATCAGTTAGTTCTAATCTTCAGTCACTACTGTTGTTTGTGTACACCTCTATGGTAGATATTTATTAAGAACGTAGAGAGAACTTTCTTTATAAAATTGTAGACTTCTTCAATATTTTTCTTGTTAATGAATTAAGACTATTTTTTCCAGCTGTAAGATGTTAGCTATAGACATCTCTATTTACTTTGAGAGTCTGTCGCCAGCCTTAAAATACTCAAATAATAATTTTAATATATAAAATTCTCGTGTCACGGTGTTCGAACTTGAACTCCTCCGAAACGGCTCGAACGATTTTCGTGATCCTTATCGAGGATACTAACCAGTTGGGAGAATCGGCCAACATCTATTTTTCATCCCCCTAAATGTTAAGGGTAGTCCACCCCTAAATTTTTGGTTTTATTTTTTAGGCAAAATTTTTTGTTTTTATTTTTTTATGACACAGCCTACAAAAATACATACAATCCTAAATTTTCACCCCTCTGAGATCAACCCTTATTTTTTATTTGTTAATTAAAAACTTTAATTTTTTGGCAATTTTTTTTTTTATTTTTTCATCAACCCCTATTTTTTAATAAAGAAATTAACATCATTCAAATAAAAACTAACATATATTTCTTGATTATAAGGCGGTACGAAGTTCGCCGGGTCAGCTAGTTTTTCTATAAAATTGCCTTACACACAACCAAAAGTTTTTAACGAGAATTGAAATAAAATTTCAAGCTTTATGGCTACACGAATTCTGTACTCTATACTTAAATGAATAATTAAGTTTCTCTTTTGTAACAGCGATTTACTATTTCATCAATTAAAATTCCTGAATATTTTTGTCAATTAGAAACAAACTAAGCAATAACTGGTCTTGACCCCTGATCTCCGACATTATTATCTAGACCCAGTTACACGAAACTCTGTTTGTTAAATCTAAACGAGGTATTTACTAATGAACCTTAAAAATATAATTGTTTGTCAAAATATTTACGTCCCAGGATGAAAACTTAGCGGCTCATTATGCCCTTTCCGTTTTCCCACCCTTTTCCTAACCCTTCCTTTTCCCTCCCTTTCCCACTTCTTCCTCTCAATCTTTCCTAACCAAGGTTGGCAACAAATCTTCTAAAATATGTATCGGAAGTCCATACTACGTCCATCAGAAAGGCCGTCTGCTCGGTTGCCCCCCTTTTATTTAAAAAAAATAAAACTTTAAAAGACCATCAAATGATTTGTTCTTATTATGGTCCTGTTAAGATCATAACTATAGATGTAATTTTTGTCCAAGTTTCAGTGGATAACTTAAAGAGGTCTGTTTGACGAAATTTCTAGGATTATCAGAAGTCTTTTATCAAAATTTATAGCATTTAAATCAGTCCTATACGATAAGTGTAAAGATTTATGAATGACCATCAGAATAATCCCTGTATAAATTTAGATGATTCAAACTTGGTAAAAGAAACAGCCCTTCGTCGCTAATCGATGTTGCCTGGTTGTAAAAGTTTATATTTTAAGAATAATATCTGGTTATATTTTATAATTTTTTGTTTTTAAATTTCGTTGCGGCATTTTTAAGTAAACACGTCAAGCAGACAGAAAACAATATAAGGGTGAATATACGCTATTTGGTTTTTTCGTGGCCTAAAAGGAAATGTTACCGGTTCCATTCAATATTTATAATTTATTTATTTTAAAATTAGTAATCACAGGGGCC